AACTTTATAATCAGAACTGGACTGAGCAAAAGTCCACATTTCCTTACTTCCCATCTTCATCTGACATGCCTTCTGTGCTCCCTCTGCACTACCCAAAACAGAGCTGTAATGCAATGCAGCTTCCCCACCCCTGGGAGATGTAGGATTTCACTGCATAGCCATTAAGCAGCTGCTTGTTCTCTTCCAAGTAGGATTAAATAAGACATCTTTCACCATACTTGTATCACTGAGAAATTTCAATCCCACATGTAATAAGGAGAAAATCTAAAATATAACCATAGAATGCAGCTCAATGCTAGTGATATCAAACAAATCCATGTGAATGACCCTTGCAAATGTGTAATAAATATAGTTATGAAAAATTAATTTTAAGTTTTACCAGAGCTACTTAGCTTTTTCATTTTATACTTTATATTACTTGTCATAAGGTTTGAAAAGCTAAATTAATTCAACCTTTGCTATTTAAGATAAATATTGATTTTTTTCTGTTCTGTGTTTTGAGAAGAGACAAAACCAATGCTAATGGTTTTATCCAGGAGGTTGTAATGGCACAGTTGAAAAGCGACCTCTTCTCAGACTGCATCACAAAATGGTGTCATTCCTTTCTTGAAAACAAAGAAGAGAAGATATTGTTATAGTTTCACCTCCACTTGTTGCTGTATTACTCATGGACAAGTTAAAAGCTTCTGCCAAGATCTCTTCTAGTCCTTCAAGTGGTTCTGTCTTGCATGTGTACTTTGAAGTTCCTATTGCTTGTGTGGAATGTCTACACTTGATGTTTTAGACATGTCTTAACATATAAATTACCTGATTATAAGTCAGTACTATTCCAGCTACCTTTCAAAGGATTGCTGCCAGCCACATTTAACCCCACTGGGCTGAGATTAACTAGCAAACCTAAGCTTCAAGCTGTATCTTTGCATCTATTTGCTTGACTACCCATTCCACTGGTGAAAACATTAAGTTGGTTTTTCTTTTCTCTAAAGGAACAAAATTTAGGCATTAGGTACAGCCTACGTGTCTTAGCTCTCCCAATAAATTTTGAAACGTTGGTCAATTTTAATAAAATTTACTTAGTGGAATATGTCTCAACAAACTACATTTCTGTGCATCCTGTGAAGGAAAGACAGTTGACCAGTAGTTACAAAAAGCCTCAAAAATGAGTTCAACTCTCCTGAGGGATTGGCATATAGCAGCTTGATCTCAAGAAGCCTTCAAAATATAGTTTCGCTTGTCATTTCTTACCTCTGGTACTCCAACCTCCCCTGCTTTCCCAGTATCTCAGCCATTCACAGTTCAGCTCAAGATAGGAAAATTATACTGCTACTAAATTAGCAGATGGGGAATTGAGGCACAATATTATTGAAACTCAGACTTTCACAGATATTTATGCATGTCTCAATTGAAAGCTGATGGCTTGAATTTACAGTAATTTCCCAAGGTCATACAAGAAGCATGCAATAAGCCTGGGAAATTGCATCCAAGCTTGCACTTTGCTCTTTGGACCATACTTCCTAAATGGGATGTAGTAATTTGAGAATTGCACCTTCCCAGCCCCCTCTTTGGTGGACACCAGTCTGCTGTGAATAAACCCATCCTTTGGTCCTTGTGGCATGAGCATCAAAGCTAGCTACCTTTCTAGATCTGCCTCTCAGGCACACTGGCACAGTGCAGATGCTGTACATGTCTCCCCTTCAAAGCTGTGGGGATCACAAAGCACAAAGGCCACCTGAGCACACAGCTCCTTCCAGTGTAGCAAAAATTTTACTGTTAAAGGGGGAATACTATCTAAAAGGAAGGCATGTCTAATTAGCAAAAGAATTTTTCAACACAACAGCAAGCTACTGATCATTACAAAAATAAAAATGTCTTGAACTTTTTAAATTCCACCTGGTTTCATCCCATTCTGACTTGGTTAATTACCTGTAGCTAATTTCTTGTGGATTTTCACATTTCATCTTTTTCAGATAGCGTTGCTTAGCTCTGTAGCTTCGAGAATCTTTTATTTAGGATCATTGAATACAAATAAGAATTCTCCAATTGACAAAAACAAAGAAGACAATGAACATTAGAATGATCACTATGAAGTATGAATACCAGTTCCTGATGCCCCATGGAGTTCACAGTTTGATGACAGACCTATTTCCAGTCTATTACACTAAGAATTTCACAGTTTTGAGAACTCTGGAGAAAGATAGATGAACAACTCACCCACCCTACATCCAATGCTATTTCTACAAAAATCAGAATTTCTTATTTCAAGCACTTATTTTTCCAAATGACAGAGTCCACAACACAAGTAAGGCACATTCTGGAACAAGCTGATATGTCTGTTCTGGTATAAAGAAGCATACTTGCTCACCTTAGCTAACACCTACTAAGTAGAATATAAAATATCTGAAGATTTTTATTTCCTCACTGAAAATTTTATGCACAGAATGACAATTTCAGGAAGTAGATCACTGGCTCACAAAATATGGAGCTTGAGAATATACTTAGCATAGGAATAAAATAACAAACCGATCGAAGACTGAGTTACAAGTGTGTGATAGAAATTTTTACTAATGGAGGAACACAAAATAAATGTGTGTGTGTGACAGAAATTGTTATTAATGGAGGAACACAAAATAAAATGTTTGTAAATGGGAATGCTGTCTTGGATTCCCTGGCTCCAGCTGGCTGACAAGTTTAACCACTGAGTGCTGTCCTGTCACCAGTAACGGTGAACACTTGTTCCCATTATGCTGTCCTAAAGAAAAGTGCTGAGTAGAAGAGGTTAAGTAGTTTTTCTATCAACACAACGTTGATAAATATCAGTACAAAAACCACAGGATAAACAATATTTTCATTTCAAATTTGAAAAATTTCAAATTTGAAAATTTGAAAAAATTTGAAAATTTGAAAAAAATGCAGTAGAAAAATTTGAGGGCTGTGTTTTCAAGAAGATTCAAAACTAGCAACTAGCAGCTCAAAAACAGGGCACTCCCTACTCTGTGCCCTGAAATCCTGCACACTGGTCTGCATTTGTCTTTCTAATCACTTGTGAAATTCTGAACTGACATGACAAAATCCACCCAAAGATCTTAAGAGTGCACAGGTTAATAGTGTATTGTCACAGCATTGTACTTAGTGAACACAAGCTATAAAATAGATAAAGGGGAAAATGCATTCCCCAAGGTCCCAAACTTAGTGAATATTCTTGCATTACTTAACATCTTCTGGGCATTTAAAAAGAAAAAAATTACTAATTACTGCTCATAGTACCCATGAGGCAGCATTAAGCTGCATATAGCATTTTCAGTAAAAACCCATAGCCATGCAAAATTCTTCTTGCTTGATGTTTCACTTTAAACTCAAAACAATCCAAACACATGGACATTTGGAGTGAATCAAAATCTTTATGATATATCAAAGCATGTGAAACTAATGTTGTTATGTGAAGCCATGTGGAAATGAGTTTTGCTTTGTGTAAACCCCAGTACCAGAAGAGAGTTAGGAAATGCATGTACTGTGCTTATCAGATATTAACCAGAAGAGGATGCTAGTAGAAGCTACTGTGAAATGTTTCATACTAGTTTAGTTAAAATACTTAAGACCTTCAAATAATGAAGGTTATTAAGAATTGCACAAACCAAAAATATTCTTATTACCTCCATTGAGAGATTGCACACACACGTGTTGGTGGCAGATGTGTGGAATGTCTTTGGCTGCTCTTTGGCCCTTTCTGATTCTAATTAATGAAGGGACTATGAATTAATGGAGGGATTATGAAGTGTTTCATACAAATGCTTCACAAGAGAGGCTTACAAATCTCAGTGGAGAAGTCAGTCCAACTAATATCTTCACTCAGCTGCCTGTATTTCTTCAAAACAAAGCCTAAAAATGGAAGAAAAATGTTCTCTTTAAGCCCTGTATCACCAGGGGGAAAGGATCCTTTTTGGTTTCCAGTGAAATTTTACTTTATTCGGGGAAAGGGGAAAGTTATACACACCCACAGATCCCCTCACCCAAGGTTCTATTCCACGAAATGGTTGGTTGGACCTGGGTTCCATGAGCCATCCTCCTCTTTTTCAGGCTGTGCAAAATGTAGGAAGTCATTGGGGAGATAACCTGTTCTTCTCTCAGCTGGTAAATCTTGATGCAGGTGGAAGACAGATTGGAATAGATCTAAGGAATTCTCACAACAATGGTGCCTGCCTTGCTGACAACAGGCACCAGGCTGGTGAGGCAGCAGGGGCGTGAGGCCAGGGACAAGGCCAGTGGGACACAGCTGGCCACTCTCCCCCAGCCCCCATCTCCCAGGACAGCAAAGATGACTGGGGGACTGGAGCATCTCTTTTATGAGGAAAGGCTGGAGGAGCTGGGCCTGTTCAGCCTCAAGAAGAGATGACTTGAGAGGGGACCTCATCAATGTCCATCAGTATCTGGAAGGAGGGGGTCATAGGATGAAGCCAGGCATTTTTGATGGCAACAAGCAAGTAGAACAAGCGACAATGGGCAGAAACTGATGCACAGGAAGCTCCATCTGAACATAAGGAAGACATTCTTTACTGTGTGGTGACTACACACTGGAATAGGTAGCCCAGGGAGACTGCAGTCTCCCTCACTGCAGATATTTCAGAACTGCCTGGATGCAATCCTGTGCTTGTGCTCCAGGATGACTCTGCTTGAGCAGGGAGGTTGGACCAGCTGTCAAACTGTGGTCCCTTCCAACCTGACCCATTTGTGATTCTGTGAGACCGACGCCGCAGGACGAGCTGCCCTTGCTCAGAGGCCTCTCTATACAATCGCCAGGAGCTGCCCTGCGGGACCGAGCCCTGTGGCAGGGACAGCCCTCGGTGACAGCCACGGCCGCCGCTGCGCCCCAGCCCCGCGCGGGGTGGGGGGGGGCGGGATCAACGCCCCCCGGCCCAGACGTTCCATAAAGGAGGCGGGCAGGGTCGGCCCGGCGGGAGGGGGCGCGCTGAGGGAAGAGCTGACATGAGTGGCGGGGAGGCGGCGCGGAGGGAGGGCAGCCCGGCTGCGGGAAGCGAGGCTCCGCGCTGGGACTGGTTCCTTCGCAGCCATTTTCCGTCCAACCAAACAGCCGATTTGCGGAGGGAGCCAACCAGGGCCGCACTGGAGGTTTGTGCCTGGCTCCGGCCAATGATTGGTAACCGGTTGCACTGCCGGCTCGAATGAAATGTCCGTCTCCCTCCCCAGGCCCCGGCGCTGCCGCCACGCCGCCGCCGCGGGCACCAGGAAGTGCGGGGCTGCCGCCCCGGGCCCCGCACCGGCCGTGCGTCGCTTTATGCGGCCAGGGAGCCGAGCGGGGTGGGCGGCCGGGGAGGGGAGCGGAACGGGCGGGCAAGCAGGGAGGGGGGGTGTCGCCAGGGGCGGTGGGGCGGCTGCCCCCGCCGCTGTCCCGCTCTCTTCGCTGGGCCCTTGCCGCTACGGCTCCATTTTGCGGCCTAGGGCAGGGGTGGAGGCAGCAGGCGGAGCTGCCCCGCGGCCGGCCGACACCCCTCACCGCTGGCTGAGAAGCGGCGGGTACTCGCGGGCGTGCGGCCTCCCGCCATCTCTCCGTCTCCGCGCCAGCCGCGCTCGCTGCGCCCCGGGGCCGCGGCTTTGTGGCGACCGCGCCGGGCGGAGCGGGCTCGGCGCTCTTTTGTGTCCGCCCACCGAACCCCCTCCCCTCGCCACGGGAGCGAGGGGCCGTGGCCCCCACCACGCCCACGGTCCCCAGCCGGGCCGTGAGCCGGGTAGCGTGCCACAGCGGCCCGAGCTCTCCTCCCGGTACCCCCGGGGCCGTTGTCGGGTCCGAAATTTCCTGAAGGGTTTGGCGCTATTTGCAGGGATGAGGAGCGTAGGGTGAGGCTCCGGGATGTGGTGCCGGTGACCGGCTGGCAGTGCGGGCGGGAATGCGAGGCCTTGGTGGGCTGCACGGGGGCCCGGCAGAGGCGCCCGGCCGCCGCCGGGCAGGTGCGGGCAGCGCGGAAATCACAGCCAGCGTGATCAACAATAAAGTTGGTGATTAACTGAGGACTCGTCGTCTTGTGCCATTTGTAAACAAGGGGTCACGATAGACGAGTTACCTTTCGAACAGATGTGAGCTGGGTGCCAGGAAGGCTCAGAGGTTGTTGGTATAAGTAGGAAGGTGTCGTCGTCGTCCCCGTCCCTCCTCCCCCTCCCCCTTTGTGCCCCAGCGCTAACTGTGTTTGCATCATTGAAGGGCATGAAATCAGGAAATGGGATCGAGCAGCTTGCAGTGGCGGAGAGGCAGCTGGGTGGCTGCCTGGGTGGCTGTCCTGTGACACACATGACAGATGGGAGAGAGACGGGACCCTACCATTATCAATGTCTACATAACTTTTCGGTGTGTGGGTGATGATCTTGGGCAGACCTATGTGTGTTAGCCACTGTGCTACCTCCGGAAATTATGTAGTTGGTGATCCTGAAGAGTACTGTCGACGTATTAACAACAATTCTATAGACAATCATACTGGAAAACCACAAAAGTTCATGCGTTCTAGTAATGTTTCTGCAGCTATGATATATATTCTGCAGTACAACCGCAGTAGAAAATCAGGTTTAGCTTTACCAATTTCTTTGACGTTTAACCAAAAAGATTTGTTCTGAAAAGAGCTGTCAGGTAAAAGCTACCTAGTGTGGTTGGGTTGCTTTTGGGATGGCAAAATTAATGATAACAATGATCTGGACATTTTTAGGCAATGAGGAGCACAGAAATCTGTATTTTAGCCCATTCATCAACTCTATTACAAGTAATAACTTTTCCTTGGCATCTTGGTGGATGGCAGTTATTGTCAATGAAAGAAAAAAAAATCAACTTTCTCAAAAGCAGCTCTGGCAAAATGGTTGGAAAAAGGAAAATGGCAGGTGCCACTTTGGGCAGTATTCAGTGTCTGGCTTTAATTGGCTTGCAGGAATGGAGAAAATAAATCTATATATAATCATTAACATATTGTTCCTAAACAATAAGCTAGTGGTTGCTTTCTTTTTATCTTTGATTATGTGGCCTGTGGCATGACAGTTGCAATGTAAAGGCAAGATCTATCTTCAGTTCTCTAGGACACCCAAGATGGCTCAATCTGAACCTTTCTGAGGCCTGTGTGAGTTGCTTTTGCGCTATGCATTGAGCAGGTGGTTATACATGGTCTTGGCTGCTGGGATTTACAGCTATGGCATTATATTGGGAGAAGTTAGAAGCACTGGGTGTTACTCTTTAGACTTCTGGATTTGACCGCCACAGAGTTCAAAGCTTAACTCTTATTTGTGGTAATAATTAGATGAAGGGAGGCAATGTTCAGAAATTGAATGAAATATAATGTTTAAGATAATGTCAAGATATGAAACATTAAACACTGAAACTTTGAAAGTCTGATACCTTGTTTTGTCAACATTTAAAAAAGGTTTGCAAGGTTCTTCCTTTAGTGCTTTCAAATATAACTCTAATGCTGCTTCACCTTTAAAATTCTGCTTAGAAAGAAACTTGACTTAGTACAGAGTTTTGCAATAGTGTTTTGAAGGAACTTAGTATTTGAAAATTGATGTTTTAGTGGCAGGATGCTTGTAAAAAGAGCAAAACATTACTATATATATATGCATACTAAACAATATGGGTAAATAACATTGGTAGAATAAAAGCAAGTGTCAGCAAATTCAACAGTTTTGGCCGAAAATAGTCTGGTCTGAAACTAGTTCGGTCTGGTCTGAACTAGTTTTGTAAAACTCTTACTTGCCCTGTTGCTTTAGAGGAAAAAAGCTGCTTGGCATACTTGAGTTACTATCTCAACAAAGGAAAAATTACCTACTTAAAAATGTTATCAAACTTCTAAAAGGAAAAAGACAGGATTTATGGATTGCTGCTTTAATAAACAGATAATCTTAGTTTTTTACAAAAAATACTAGAAAAGTATCAAAAGTACTATTGAAAGGTAATATGGGGATTTCAGTGAGGTTGCTGAAGGAAGGAGGTGCTGGTGCAGTGTGTTCAGCACTGCTTTCCTTTTCCAGCTTCTGCAAATGCAATTAAACTGCCTCCATTCCTCTGCTCATCTTATTTTCTCCTCCAGCTTCTCTCTTCTACTGCCAAAAAAGAGAAAGTGTGGAAACTGGATTTCTCCTGCTTGCTCTGTATCACTGACCCTCTCGATGTGAAAATGCATGAAGTTTTAGTCCAGCCATATATATTGCAGCTAACAGTGCTTGTGGATATTAGCCAGTCTTGGAAGGAGTCATCAGCTGCTCTAGCAGAGCTGGATCCACGTGAAGGGGGCCTGTAGTCAGTGGCACTGGGGCTTTTAAGATAAGAATAAAGTTGATAGACTGTTACATGGAGTGGGAAAGGTGTAAGTAAAGGTGGCAGTGCCCTTTTTGGATTTCATAAGAGATAGTTTCCTCCCCATGGGCCAGGGGAAGGATTCTGGTATAGCCCAGATGCTAATGAGCCTTGGTGACACTGTAGTCCTCTCAGCATCAATCTGCTTTTCTCAGTGTTACTCTGCTGTGGGGGGAAACACTGAATGTAAGGGATTAGAGAAGTCTGAGATGGAGAGAGAGTGCAGCATCTGGTTTTGTTCTATGTGTGAAGGCATTTGGCATTATATTTTTATGTGTCTGCTGAAACAATGTCCTGTGAATGCATTCACCAGTTGGTACTTCTTAAATACCTGAAGGTGGGAATTCAGTGGGAAATTAGGATCCCCAGAAGTCACTGAAAAATAAAAGGAAATTAAAGGTGCATTTTTAATGGAAAAGTCTTTCTGCTTAAGAGGCAAGGGTGCAGAAAGCTCGAATAAAACTTTGTGTCTCTGCTGTTATGTACTGATTCACAGCTTTACATCTCTTGTGACAAAGTGTGGCAAAATGAATGATGTGGTTACTACCTACAGCTTTAGTTATTGTTTCTGTCCTGCTTCTTTGGCAGACATGACTGCATGGAATGTGTACCAAGTGCTTCAGTTCATTGCATATAATTTTCCACTCCCCTCTCACAGGGTAGCAATTTTGGGAGACAGGGTGGATAAGTACCACATGAAATACTTAAATCACAAGAGGCCTTTGGTTTCCCTTCAAGAGGGCAGTTTGTAAGTCATTGCCATGTAACTTCCTCGTTATGAAAACAAAAATCATGTTTCTTCAAATTTCTTTTTTCTTCTTTGTTTTTCCTTTTATACTGATCTAAGTTTTAGTCTCTTCTCAGTGCTAGCAGGCTTGGGCTTGTATTCTTCTTTAGTTATAATTTAGCTGAGCCACTGGTATTGACTGCAGTCTTAAGGGAGCTTATAAGATTAAACAGGATGCAAGATTTACTTTGAGATACTGATGTTTTATTAGTTTAGTACAGACATATTATAGGAACAGTCTGAGTTGTGAGCAGCTGACAGGAGCAAATTTTTTTTAAGTATCCTCAAGAATATTTATACCAAATGTCAGTGTAAACCTGTGTGTTCATTCATGTGCATCTTATCATTGAACCTTCTTTGATGCTCTTGAAATGTTTCTCTTATAACATATTTCTTTGGTTAACTTCCATGCATCTAGGGATATACAAACTATGTATATCCCTAGTAATATTCTTTTATTATTAGAGAGAGAAAAAACAAACAGAAAGCCACTAACAGAAAGCATTGTGCTGCTGCTCTGTATTCAGATTTTAATTGTGCTGTGTAGTGCTGAATGTTTATGTCCTGTACTTGTTTACTCTCCCTGGTTGTTGATAAAATCAGATAGTGGCATGGTCATTTTAGAGACTGACATGTCATTCAGTCCATGTGTATCCATGGAGGAGCTTCATTGTCTTCCTAGCACAGGAAGCTGAGGATAATGTACAACCTGTAGTAATTGCTTCCTGCAGTTATGCACTGCACTTGCTGCTGGAGGACTGAGGTGTTGGAAGCCTTCCCTCGTGCAATTTGGCAGCCACACAGAGGTAGGAGATGCTCTTGTATTAAAAAGCACTGCAATGTTTGCAGGCTGAAACTACCATGCAAATGTGATGTATAATCTGCAAATGGCTACTTCTCCTTAAAGCAAGTTGTAACAATTTGGCAATCTAAAGCAAAATCTGAGAGGAAAGTTCTTTCCCACCTGAACCTTTTAGGATTAGATCTTCCAGGATTTTGCCTGTTCTAGCATCTACTTCCATCTGAAGTAGCAGATCTTCCTACTAAATGGGCCAATATAAGAACTGTTGGCCTTTTTAGTCTCCTAGTGACTGCAGTTAGTGTAGGCGAGGTGTTGTTTCTATGCTATGTTGCACTGCTGCCTTTTCCAGAGCAACTTCACGGACACAGAATTTAGTTTGTGTCATAGTTTTGGAAGTGTTTTATTGGTTGTTTGGGGTTTTTGTTTGTTTAAAGGAGGGGGATTAATTAGCAACAGTGTAGTGAGAAGAATGAAGAAAATGTTTTCTCATTTTCTGAACATTGTTGTATGTGTTACAGAACTTGTGCTGAGCTTGACAGTCAGATAATGTGGGGATTAACTGGAGTTTTGAACACCTGAAATTAAAACTGTAATGTGTGAGCATATAACTGTTTGTTATGAGATGGCTGGGATAGCCCTGGCCACATTTTCCTGCAAGGTCGTGTTTGTCATCCATCAGGCTCAAAGAAATACTAGTAGGGTGACTTGGATGGCACATTAATTACAGCTGCTATATTCAGATGCCTGGATCTAGATTTGAATTGAATGACAACTCTGGCTGAAATTCTTCCATCAACTTACTTGGATTGAAGTAGTGTGCTGAGATCCCCTCCTTCTCTCACGGTGTGGTCAGCTGGAGGAGGCATGGGGGGCAGCTGGGCCAGCTCTGTCTGTGGTGGCCTTCAGGATGTGGCTGGAGAAAACCTTGAGTGCTCTGCTCTGAGCTCGGAGCTGACCCTGCTTTTAGCAGGGGCTGGAGTAGAGACCTCCCACAGCCACTTCCAACATGAATTATCCTGTGGGCCTGGATCGCGACCTGGTTATGCTGAGCATTATGCAGAAGGGTGTTAGTGCTGTCCCTAATCTCCTGTCCCAAAGTTGTCCTGGCAGCTAAAAATCTTTCTTCAAGTAATACCAACAGAAGTAATTTCAGTTGATGTTAAGCTGTCAATACCTGTTTTCTTTATCTGAGTCAGATCTGTCTTTTTCTGTTGCAAGCCTTTTCCTGTCAATTTTGCTAATCACTATTTTAAATTCATAGTGCTGATAAATGTCCACACAAATGCCCAATAATGGTGAAATAATACATCCTGTAAGTAGATCTGGAAATATGCGCACAGAAAAAAATAGAAGCAAAGGTATTACCTTGAGGATGCATTAGTTTAATATGACCAAAATGTCTGTAGATGCAGCACAGGTTTGAAAGAGATTCAAGCAGGTATTGTCTATTGAAAGCAAGCTGGGCTAATGAAAGTAAGATGTTTTCTTAGTGTTGCTGGGTCTTGGCAATAAAGATTCAGATGGAGTAGCCTGCAGGAGAGGTGAGCAGAAACCAGTTAGTTATCACATCATGGCAGAAATTTGAAGAATATTGCAACCCTGAAGGAAGGAAATAATTTAGAAGAAATGTTTCACACAAGATTGAAAAAAGAGAAGGAAAGAAAGATCAAGGTATAAAAATACCTTATATTGGGGCTGGTAAAGATTGAGATCCTAAATTAAATTCCGTCAGGGATCAGAGAGCCAAAACTGAGAAGACTACCAGAAAACTCTAACATAATTTTGGAGGTAGCTTTTGGGATTTACCAGACTGCAATTTTAATTCTTTCAGAGTGCAGAAGGGAGAGGGAGGCACAATTCTCTTAATGATGCGTGATGTCAATTTTGGTGATCATGACATGCAGGATTGTGATATCCTTGCATTGTCATTACAGTAAGCTGAGAAAGCAAACTGCAGACCCCTTGGGAGATTGAAAAGCAAAGTTAAATCTCCCAACAAAGGATCTGCAAAATGTGTATAAAGTGAATTTATGTTAAGGATGGCACATGGAAGGTTGATGCCTAAAATGCTGCCCTTCCTTTGGGTAGAGCTACTGTGTAAGAAGTGAAGCTGGTTTGCAAAAGCCCAGCAAAAGGGACCTGAAATTCTTTATAGAAGTGTAATATTCTGTTCATTGAAGAAGAGCTGGAATAGTCTTTTTCTCTTGAACAGCTCCTAAGGCTCTGTCCAGCTATTGTTGGAATGTGAGCAGCGCTCGCGTTATTTGTGCATCTCTGGCCGAATGTAACACCGGACATTGCTGGAAGGTTTCAAAATGAAACTCAGCCCTGTGGCCACAAGCAAAGTGCAGATTAGCGAGAGGTTAAATGCTCATATTTCTGGGTAGATGTAAAAAAATCACAACATTGCTTCTCCCTCTCTCCCTCCCTTCTCTCCCTCTTTGTGGATATGCAAAAAAGTGAGCTCTGTGGTCTCACTGACAACAACCACGAGATCCTTCAAAGACACCAAGGTACCCACACAGTGGATGTGGGGTCAATGAGTGAAGTCAGCTGGGCTCTGCCTCTCCAGGCCCCATGTGTGTAGCTTGTCAGTAAGAAGGAGGGAAGCACAGGCTCTTTTGGCTTCCCTTTTTCTCCTGGCTTTTAAGTTACCTATTAAACTGTGACCGCCCCCATCTCCAAACCGTCATGAAGAAGTCTTCTTTTTGGCCACCACATCAGAACCTTGAGAGAAGAGCACCAAAGGATGCCCAGAGAGTGAGGCAGGGCAGGACCAGGGAATGCTAAAATGTGACTCAGATGGCACATAGGAGTAGCTGGTGTCTCAGGGAGGATGAGAATGTGGAGCTGGTCCCACGGTCTGGCTAGAAGTTTATCAGTGGGCTTAACAAACCAACACGAAGAGTAAAGGTGAGTGAGTGAGTGAGTGAGTGAGTGAAGGATGCATTCTGTGTAGGAACTAATAGGTAAAGCATTCAGTGAACAGGGGGCTGATGTAGGTTTTGAGGGTTGTTCAAGACACCTTGCACATTCTGGTCAGACTTTCACAGGAGCTATGTGTTACATAAACCAAATGATTCTGTCATGGCCTGTGCCTCTGGCCGAGTTTGTTGAAAAACCTCACAAAACAGTTGAACTATTTCCATTGTCAGTACAACTCATTAATGACAGTGGGGATGCTGTTCTCCAATAGCAAAATATTTATGCTTTGTATAAAGTGATCTCATAGTTTGTGCTGGGTTTGAGTAATAGCTGCACTTAGTGATGTAACAATTGTACCTGAAAGGTTTCCTTCTTCTGGTTGTAGATGGATGGTGACAGCTCCACAACAGATGCTTCTCAGTTAGGAATTGCTGGAGATTACATTGGTGGCAGTCACTATGTCATACAGCCTCAGGATGGTAAGAAGTGAGAGAGCAAATGCTACTATTTCTCTGCATATGTGTGTATACATAAATTTTCTTCCAGTTCTTATATCATTCTCTGCTATCTTCTCTCAGGCTAAGAATTTGCCATTGTTTTTGTAATGCCTCACTGTATAAAGCATTTTCTACAGTTTGAAGGGGGGAGTTGGATTTTTTGATATTGGTACAGAGACCTTAGGGGGATGACAAAAAAATTTGTGTTATAGAAAGCAGTTTGTATTTTGGCATGGCATTAATAATGGTTGTTGATCAGAGCCATGTACACTTCAGTGCATAATGTGATTAAATGCTATCTTTATAAAGGTGCCCTGATGTTGCATCTATTTTTAAAATTATTTCTATGATGTTAGCACATTGTGTTTTCAAAGGTCTTCATCCTTCAGTGTAAGATTTTAAACTGAATTATTGCCTGTTGTCTATCAAATATAATTTCTGTTAACTTTTCTTCATTTCATTAGACACAGAAGACAGCATGAATGATCATGAAGATACAAACGGTTCAAAAGAGAGTTTCAGAGAACAAGATATATATCTTCCAATTGCGAATGTGGCAAGGATAATGAAAAATGCCATACCCCAAACAGGAAAGGTAATACTGTTGTCTGGTACAGAAAGTGTGTTAATGAGTTTTATTCCTTCCTCTCCATGAACTTGAGCTGATTAGAACAACATATTTTTCCAAATGATGCAGGTTTATTGAAGGAAAGCATTATAAAAGGAAAGGAGAAAAAGCCCCAGGAGCAGGAGGTGATTGAGACTAAGCCAATCACTAAGAATATTTTCTATGCAATTCTCTTGAGAGATTTAGTCTGCTTTCATTGATGTGCACAAAATTTGGAATAAGTGAAAAATTTTGGCTGAAATAGAAATTCAGTGCTCATCCTGAAGGGAAGAGAATGGTTAGCCTTCCATTGCCCAAATATTTGCATACCCAAATGCCAAAGTGACATAAGAAGTCTGCTTTATATCATGGAGCAGATAAGGCTAGATATTGAGAGCCTTGTTTATTTCTTACTTCGAAGAATAGACTTTTTAATCCATTCTGCTGAGCTGGTGATTGTATAAGTACTTCATCATTCTACTGGTTTATCTTAAATCTTTGCAGGGCTCCTATGATTTGCTCTTTCTCTATTGTATTCCAATACAATTCCAGCCACAGTAACATTTCCTCCAGCTAAAACTAATCTCTTTGGAGATCACTCTAAATAGAAGCAAGACATCATTTACTTGCCTCTGCTTGTATTTTCATAGTGTTCAGGGCTTTCTGGAGATCTGAATGTTACGTTTATAACTTTGCTGTGAAAAACTGTACCCTAGTTCATATTGTCATAAATTTTTAGTGATCAAAATGAGATTTTTCTTTAGAATTTAGCATATGGGATGTGGAGCTATCGTGAAAAATAAGGATGGTTTTTTGTAAAGAACTGCAAGAGAAGCTGCTGACTGATGACTTCTGAAAATCTCACCCTACATGTCTGAAAATCTCAGAGGAGCTGGTGAAGACTCTGCACACAGTTACTGCTTCAATTTTTTAGGTTCTTTTCATGTGAAGAATAAGAATCTTAATTATTATAATCTTCTTACTGATTCTTGTCAGCTTCCCAAGTAATCATGAGTAATACTTTCTGTAATTTTAAGTCAGGTAAATTACTTTTGTCCCGCTGAAAGCTGTAATCAAATTTACTTACTTCATTCTTGCCAGGGGTATATGTTGCTTCATTTGAGTTCTCATTTGGTAAATTTATACCAGAGCATATATATATGTGTGTGTGTGTGTGTATATATGTGTGTGTATATATATATGTATATTTATTTGGTAAATTTATAATAAAGCATTAGAAAGGCTTTCTGGTAGATGTATATTCTAGTGCTTGAATCTAGGCAGAATAAAAATACTTGTCAGTGCTGAATTGGTGGGAATGTGATGAACTGAGGTTGGAGCTACCAGATCTCTTAAAAAGAAGAGGAAGTGGGCTGTGACATTGTGATGAACAGGTTTGAAGAGACATAGGTAAGCAAAGCAAGAAGCATCTGGGTGTTAGAGCTTGTATAGAACTTAGGACTTCAGGAGATCCTGGCAGTTGGCTGTGCTGCTTGAAATAGTAAAACGAGTAAAATCACATTGCAGCTGGTCTTATGTAGAGGAGTGAGGACATCCAGTGGTTTGCTGTGCAGGTGTTGCCTAAATGGGTATTATCATTGGGATTTGGAATGTTTCCTCTATTATGTACTCTTTGGGGGGTTAGTGGTGAGTTTTTTAAAGTCTTATGTCTTTATTAATGATTTTGTGATACTTTTTTCCTTACTAGATTGCTAAGGATGCAAAGGAATGTGTACAAGAGTGTGTAAGTGAATTCATCAGCTTTATAACATCAGAAGCAAGTGAGAGGTGTCACCAAGAGAAAAGAAAGACCATCAATGGAGAGGATATTCTCTTTGCCATGTCTACCTTGGGGTTTGATAGTTATGTTGAACCTTTGAAGTTATACCTCCAAAAATTCAGAGAGGTTGGTATATATGGGTATTTGCTCATTTATTTAACCTGGTTGCATTTATCCTTAGCTCTCTGTTGTTGTAGCTGTATAATGGCTAACTTGCACAGTATCTCACAGCTCTTGGTTAGGGAGTAATGTTATGTTTAAAAGCATTCTAGAGGACTCTTGACTCCCAGAGGATGTCAAGAGAAAAAGGAGGAAGTAAACATTTTGATTAGACTTGCTGATTCAGAGTAGTTAAAGCTTTCAACTTTATTCAGTATTCTTCAATATTCAATTTTATTCAAATTCTCTAATATATTGGTGGTCATAAATTGCTCTGCTCTTTGAAGTGCCTATTAAGAATGTTTAATTTGATCTTTGGGTTCAGTCAGTATGTACTGACTACATCCTCTGAGGAACTGGCCTAATGCCTATTGTTTGTCTGGACTTCAGGTCTGCAAAAGAAAAAAGCTGTTTTTCTCATGTTGGAATAATGATTCACATGGAAAACTATCTGTTTCAATGGGTTTTTTAAAATTACTATTTTAGCCTGTCCCTCAGTTTGCTTTTGATACATAGTACATGCTAGATATGTGATCCAAACAGTTAATTTAATTTATCCCTTCTGTAGCAGAAAGTGACTTTATTCCTTTCAGCAGTTTAGACCTTTTCAAAAAAGGAAGTTGCTTCTGCTTGAGATTTTTTTTTCTGGTCTGCCTCCTCCTGTCTAAATTGCCAGAACAGTAGATAAGGATGCTCTTCTGAGTTTCTTTGTTTTGTAAACCTAAGATTTTTTTAGTTCAGACTTGCCAACCGTATTTGTTTTGCTGACAACACTTGAAGCTTCCCCTTCCCAGAAGGTCATTTGCTGAATAACTGAGTAACAGGAGGTGTAAAGTTGGAGTAGTGCTATGTGCCTTTTCCAGTTCTGTGTGGCAGTTGCACATGCTGTGATAGGGCTGTATGTGCTTTTAAAAAGGCAAGTATTCCTTAACTAGTTCCAGTTCTTACCGAATAAGTCTGAAGTGGGTCTGTGATACTTTCATTCTTAATTGATCAGTTTTGCAGATTATAGATACTGTGGTAGCAGAGTAATTGGATTTTAATTGCATGGATGGGTTAAACAGCTTTGCTCATCAGTTTTAAATCTCCTTTCCAGCAAGGGTGTCTTCAGGGTGAAATACTTCAGTTTTGTAATTGAGTATTTTGTCTGAAGCAAGCAGTTGCAGAGAATCTTTTTTTATGCCCACATTATTTTTCTAGACATTCTTATGTAATAGCATAGAGCATCAAAAACTGCATGCAGATGACTTGGGGCCTTGGCTTTCTATGCTGATATCCTTTCTGGCTGTAGTCCTTGATGTGGGAGAAGAAATTCCAATTCTTGGTTTTAAATGTCAGCTCTTAGTTTACGGTGATGGTGCTTGTGTGTGGTTGGTAAGGAAATGTTGCACATTCTTGATAGGTGAGACTCTGTGATTTCTTGTAAATTCTCCTTCTGGATTACCACAGATTTTGAACTTTCTGCAGAAGGTGAAAAGCCTTTCTTAGAACCACACAGTCCTAGTTTGACAAGTTTTTGTTTCAGGAGTATGGTTAAGATGAAAAACACTTATGTAATATGCACATTCTCAAATCCCATAGAGTTTTACAGTTCTTGGGATTTCAAGCTCCAGCTGTTGCACTGTAACTCTTCTGCAAGTTTCAAACCTTGGCTAGAGTTCCTGGGGCTTTGAAAAAAATCTCAAGCTTTTTTTCTGCTTATTTTGTGCTCTCTCTTCTTAGGCAATGAAAGGAGAAAAGGGAATTGGGGGAACAGTTACAACTGCAGATGGTCTAAGTGAGGAGCTCACAGAAGAAGCATTTAGTGAGTAGTACTTTTTAATTTATTATGTTCTTACTACAGCTGTTGTAAATACAGCACTTCTGGCAGCATTCTTACTTGAGGAATATATCCTGGACTAGTAATAGCTCATGTCAATTGTGAAAAATTTATAAATGCATATATTAGTCCTTGTATACACTTAAACACAGGTTGTAATGAAAGGTGCAAACCTTTTTTTTCCTTTTCCCCCAGTAGCTACATCCATTCTACTTGCAAGACACTTGGGGGAAAAAAGTTAAACTGACTTGAGGAGCTCATCTTTGAGAAATGAGGCAGAGAAGAAAATCATCTTTGTCTAATTCTAAAGACCTTAATATTTCTTACATTCAAAAGAATGCACAGATTGGCAGCTAGAAGGTGTAGGGTGTAGCATTCAGTGTAGTTTTCTTCCTTTTACTGTGGATTAAAACCTGACAGTTTTTTGGGATTTACACTGATTTTGTTGGTGCTGATTCTTGCATGTAGTCTCCACCTTGGCTTTTAAATGTTATGGGCTGGTAGTGTTGAACCTGATAGAAGACAAATTAGAAAGCACAGCTCTAGTCCTATCTACTGACAAGCTTTAGGTTTTTAAGTATGTGATAAAATCACTGGTAAACCACCAAACTAGCAAAAATTCAAAGCCTGAGGGCTAAAATGACCTATTCAGGATTGGAAATACACTTTGCTCTCAGTTTGACTTTGGCTGCATAAAACAATGCAGTTATGTTGGGTCTCTTCTAGCCTGGAAGCGGAGCTTATAAAACTGGCTGGAAATTAGGAATCTAAATCTAAATATTGCAAGGGTCCCTTCTAATATTTAGATTCAGATTCTTAAAAACTTTAGGTTGCTGTGACTTGAAAAGAGCAACTTTAGAAATGTCCTGGCAGGATTAAGGATGCAAAGGAGCTGTTGCAGTATTAAAAGAAAGTAAAAAAAAAATTATGTTAAATAACTGATCATGTCAAGTGCTGCAGGTTTTTCCCTTCACAGGGGCAGCTCTGTCTGGAATGAATGATGGTGTCCCTGCAGCAGTAGTAGTGATAGCTGTGCTTCTGTGGCATAACCCTCAGCTCTTTGTGGTGGCCTCATGCCGGGGCTGGGTCGGGGTCTCTCCATTAAGCTGTGTTGGATATGGAATGTGCACATTGAAGAGCAGTAAATTTTGGACCTGCCAGAGCCACTCTCACTAATCTTCATGCATCTCTCAGCCTGCAACTGAAGCAATTGAAATTTTGTTCAATGAAGGAGGAAGGAAAAAAAAATAAAAACAACCAACCAACCAACGAACCAAAAATCTAATTACAAAACCCTCAAACATCAGCTTTCAAATGAAAACTGTTAGGATTATGCAGTGCTTTCAGAATTTTGTATTGGTTATACATCTTGTTTATATTTAGTAACTACATGAACAAAACCTTATTATTTGTGTCCTAGGGGAAAATGTGCTACAGTGACAACCTACAGTATAAATCAGTGTGCTGCTTTGCTTTCAAATAGCAGTTGTAAGGCACCTACTCTGAGTGTGAGAGCTTAATATGCATGTTTGTGAAGGTCTACCTTGGGGCATCACTCCCTGTGTTTTCTCTTGGTATCTCAGAAGTACTTTTTACTCCTTTTGTTGGCCTCCTCTTTCCTCTGTGAAATCAGAGCTCTTCTGTGTGCCCTAAAGGACATGCTGAAGTTGACCACTACAATGTCAGGCTCTGGCAGTGCCTTTTATTTTTTGTCATTGCCTGTTCCTGTTCCTCTCTTCTGCCTTCCATGGAGCTTCTGTATTATGGAGTCCCTGATGGATCCCAATTTATAAAGCAGCACAATGATTTAATTGAGTTCCTCCCACATGGCTATGCTCAAGTGCTAAACAAAGCCAACTCAATTCTTCAGGCTTGTTGGGATACTGAGCACTGGAGATGGCCTTTTCAGTGGTCAGGGGGGTGAGCTCCGCTCCATTTGCCTGTGTGCAGGTTTGGACATTCTGCTTACTCTCAGAACAAAATCAAGTTGGATTTTATTATTTCTTCTGAATGGGAATAAACTTGTTCACCTGTAGCACTTGGTAACAAGTGTGAATTTACCAGTGTAGGATGGTAACTCGGAAGATTAATGGCTCTGTAGTCCTGGAGTGGACCACAGTTATTTAATGGTGACAGACACATCAAACAAGGCTCTGTATATCAAGCATTCCTGCCTAATGTTTTTAAAATGCTCTTTCTTTCAGCTAACCAGTTGCCAGCAGGCTTAATAACCACAGATGGCCAACAGCAGAATGTTATGGTCTACACAACATCATATCAACAGGTATGATCCTGTATCTTGTCCCCTACTCTCCCTTCTGCTGCTAAAATCCAAACACTCATTCAGCTGCTTTGTTCTGAAAGATGAGAATTAATTTTATATAGTCCTTTGGTGGTGGCTGTCATGCTATTCTGACACTGAGAATTCATGGCTGCTTGCTGTGAACTGCTCTGCAGCTTCAGAAAATGTGCAGTGGAATGTAAGCTTGAATTTTCTTTCTCTAGATCTCTGGTGTTCAACAAATTCAGTTCTCATGATTTTGAAGAAAATTTTCCATCTGGGAACATGAGACGGAAAACCTGTGCAACTCTAACGAAGAGGCAGTTTTAATGACTGGTGAAGAGATTTATCTCTTTGTATATTAAATAGCTGTAATGTAGCTACCAGAAGCTTGACTAATTGAGGTGAGAGTTCTGACTTAAATCTTTTTCATGATGATTTTAAAGAAATAATTGGATTTTAAAGGTATTAAAGTATTTTTGTTTTGTACAAGAGTTTGTTCCTCTGTATAACTCCTGTATGCATTGTATATTGCAATTTATTACTGTCAGAGATTTGTAGACAGTTTCTTATTTTCATATTGAATCATGTTACTTTTGTAATTCAGGTGAACAGCTGGGTTAATTCATGCTTACCCTTTGAATAAAATTGTAAGGGTAAAGTTCATTTTTGAATGCAAGTTGCCTTTATTATAAAGATTGAGTTAGTCTTGATTATGTAACTTGTCTTGCATGACAACCTCAACTAACCTGACATGTCAGCTTATTTATTGAGATTTTGTAAGGGACTTTTTCCTCATGAAACTAGCAGCTCAAAATCATTGCTACAATTGTTTTTTCTAATGTAACTTCTGAATTAAAGGTTAATCAAAACCAATGAATGCTCTACTACATTTAGAGGTTTAGAGCTTATCAACAGTGTTAATGAAAGCAATGCAGGTTTTCTTTTTTAAAATTTTTTTCAGTTGCATTAATTCTCGTTTGACTTACTTTGATACTTTTAAGGTAGTCTTTCTGCTATTGAAATAACTCCTCCTTTTTATGTATGGCTTGTAGAATCCCAAACTTTGAAATCCAAGGGTAGGGGGGATTTTATAGTCCTTGTGGTAAAAGATCTCATTTTAATTTTTTACTGAAATGTTTTAACATTTCTTGTGAGTCTGTGGAAACTCAAAAGTGGTAGTGACTTTCTATGCCTGGGCTGCATGTTGTGTGGGTGTGTATGGGCATGACTGGCTGACAGCTGATTAAGTGATACAAATCTGAAATGGAAGACAGACTTCAGGTTTGCTGTCTCTTTCTTGGTTTTGCAATAAACTCTACCTAGGTAATGTAGTTCTGTATATTAAGTGAGCTGTTCTTGGTAACATTGCTGTTTCTTTATAATTGGATGGGTAATTTTGTTGCCATGTCTTAGCCTATTAGAGTAGGGATGAAGGTTTTAGTAATAGCTTACTCAGACTGGATTTTGGGACCTTCCGTATTTTTACTGTTTCCAGTGGACTGAAATGTAATATATTTATTATCCTTCTAATAAGGATAATAAATATATTATCCTTATTAGAAGGATAATAAATATATCCTTTAATTAATAACAGGTATGTTATTAATTTAAGCAAACCACACCTTGAAACTCTTGCCATATGATTTCTTGCTGGTTTTGTCTTTTCTTTAAAAAAAAAAAAGAAATGTAATAGTTCAATATTGGTAAATCAGCATAACCTAAGATATCCCAGCTCTTTAGCTAAACAAAAACTTCATGTGCAGATTTGAGCAGTGTTTCCTACCAGTCAGCATCCTGCTGGCAGAGCCTCTGGAGACGATCCAGTGTATTCAGGGCAGTCTGCAGGATGTTCTGGGCTTTGTGGCTGCCTGTTGTTGTTCAGCAGCTATGAGCAAATGGAGTTTCTCATTAAATGTAAAACTGAATAACACAATCCCTGCAAGAGCCCCTTCTGTTTCTATTCCATTTATTTCAGGCCAGCATAGCCTGTTCTTGCTGTTCCCAGATTTGCAATGGAAAAAAGTTGTGATACCAAGTAAGGAGAAGCTAGGAAAGATTTGGCATTTTGATATATAGAAAGTGGGTTGAGGTGATCCCATACACTTGAAACAAGAAACATTTTTCAGGCTCCCTTCTCTGCTGTGAATTTAGGTTAACGTGTGTTAAGTTTGTAGTTTATACTCCATCATGTGAGCAATGAAGCTGATACCTAGTTTTTCCTTTTTGTTTCTTCTCCCTTTGAGGGCCAGGGACAAAACTGCATAACTTCTCATTCTCTTCCTGAAACCACAGCAGTAAAAGCAATAGTACAAAACTTTGTTCCATGTCTCTCTGAAACCTTTCTCCTGATAAAATTTTGCAGGGTAGCCATGGTACACCAAATAAAAAAAAATGTGGTCTGAAGAAATACTTGCCTAATTTTATTAGCAGCAGCACAACCAGTGCATTCTTTATATTTGTTCAACAAATCTGTGTTCTCATTTTGCTCTGTTTGGGTGTTTAAAATTTACAAGTAGCTAAGACCTGGACCAAGAATGACCATTCTTGCTACATCTCACATGCTTCTACAACACTCCTCTCTTTAGTCCTCTGAATGTTTTTTTGAACTAAGATACCCCCAAACTGAGCTTGAGTTCGAGACAGCTGTGGCAGCGTATGTTAAGACTTGGAGAAAGGCTGCTTGAAAAGCAGTGATGTTCAAAGATCTTTTTCCAAGAGCAGTGACTTTTTAGGTGTCTTTTCACAAGACAAGCAAGTTTTACCACAGTAATTTTTTGAAAAATGCATTTTTGTATCACTTGATCCTTCTGGTATTTCTTTATAGGGTGCTTTTGGTATCTTTAAAAGCACAAAAATGCTGTTATCTCTAGTCCAAATGCAGTTGTGAGAAAAGCTGATTTCGATGATGTTCTTGTATATCCAATTTTCTCTTGGGTCTGTCTCTGCCCCGAGATGCATGGGATGGTGGTTCTGCGGCAGCCTGCGCTTTCGAAGAATGAGTCTGGACTCTTCGCTTTTTCGGTCTTCAGGTTGTTTATTATTTCTTATTTACAAAATTTTCTTTTTGCCCAGCTGAGATCTGCTCAGCAAGGCAGCCACAGGCACTCTGACCGCCCCCAAGGTGGTGTCGTCTTTTTATACTACAAACCACGTATATCATAAATACTTTTAATTCCCAATACCCATCACCTATGTTAGACAGTGCACTTCTATTCTAAACCAATCCCCAAGTGCTAACATCATCACAGAAAATGGATGACAAGAAAAAGAAAGAAGATGCCCTGATTCCTCCATCTTGTCCCCATAGCCCCATACAAAAAAATCCTTAAACCTACATTTTCACCCTGTGAACACCTTGTTTTTACACCATTCAAACCTGTGTGGCTTTCACATCCCCATGCCAAGCTGGAAGGATCAAAATCAAGCCACCAGGTGTTCTGGGCAGAATGCCAGGGTCTCCGAGCCCCCTGACGGGGTCCTTGGCAACTCTGGACATCCGGAGGAATGTGCTGAGTTCCCACAATTTTCATTACAGGCAAAATGGGAACTGAGGCTCTGCCTTTCCCAGTCTTGTTGATGTACACATGCATGGTTAACTGTTTTATTTATTCCCTCCTTCTGATCTCTACTGAATGCTAAAACATGTGGCTGGATGGTGTAGCAAGAACACAGATGGAGTTCTGGCATGAGGTGGTACGTCCTAAATACCTACCGCCCCATGTTTATATGCCTGTAGCTAAAAATCAGCCTGAATTATATGGGCTATTCTTTAAAGAGCTATCTTCCTTGAACTGCACTTTGGATCACTGTGAATGCTATGGGATGATTCCTATTGCAGAATTTGAGGATGGTGCTCATGAACATGTTGTAGACATGGAGAGGTGATTTCTCTCTAGCCTTTGGCAGGAGAGGAAGCATATGGGCAACTGCACACGCAGAAGAGATTGCTCAGTGCAAAGCAAGGGGCAGAGACAAGGGCTAGTGTTATCCCCAGCACCTTGCTGTCATGGTAAGGGTTGGCAGCAGCTTTGCTTATAGCTATAATATTCCTCATTTTGCAGAGCTCTGAATGTGATTAATGGTCCAGGTAAATCACGGAGGCTTGCTGCCTCAGTTACATTTACAGCAGTAAGACAACTTGCCTTTAAGACACTGTATTACCAAATGGTGCAGGGTTGATGTTTTTGGGGTTTGATTTGTACCAAATAGAAGAAAGGAAGTTTTTCACTGAAACTAGTAGTGAATTTTCTTGTGTTTGTAGGTGAAAAAACTTCCAAAGCTGGATGTAGATTTTAAGACAAGTAATGCTATAAGGAAACTATATATGCAGTCCTATAGAATGAAGTTTGATCTAATGATTCCTCTTATTTTTCCCCTGTTGCTGGTTTGGTGAAAAGAGCAGTTGTGGGAGGATGCCTTTTGGATGTGGTACACTCCAAGACATGGACCTAGTTGAAAGTATCAACCAATTTTTCCTCTTTGAAAATCAGATATGCTGTTGTGGCAAAATAATTCTCACTTTCACCCTTTCAGAAGCTGAAAAATACATTCAAGCAACCAAATGTTGATATATTTGTTTACCTATTGATTTGTGAAATTGGCATGGTAGTGGACTGCAAGGTTACCTCTGACCCTCAGGATGTGAAAGCTGAATGGGAAGCTCCCTGGAAACTGCAAGTTCAGCTTGCAGTGACATTCAAGGCCATGTGCTCTTGGGAGGGAGGGCACTTTGCTGCTATGCACAATAGTCTTCAAATTGGTGCCAGCTGCACTGAGTTTATTAAACCCAAGTTCCCAAGGATGGCTGTGGAGGCAGAGCCAGAGTGATGCAGTGCAGAGCAGGTCTGAAGGAGTCAGCTACCCTGCTTTAAGAAATCTTCCAGGCAAATTTCTAGGCTCATTTCCTGGAGTATTTTACTGCAGCATGCCAGGCTACAAGGCCCATTTATCAGAGCAATGGCACCTGATTTGCTTATGTGTGAAAGAAACCTATTGAGGGTTTAAATCTGCTGGGCAGAGGAGCAGCCTTTGGGCTGCTAATTTAATGTGTGTGTGCCTGATAATTACCGTTACAGCAACATGAACAGCAAATAAAATTACCTCCAACAGCAGAACCAAGACTCAGTTTATGTGCAAGGGCTGTGTCACTCAAAATGCAACTGCAGCCAAAACATTTGCAACAGTATATACTATTTCTACTCTCTGCACCCTGGAGGAAGACAGTCCAGCACAGCAGAGCCCATGTCCCAACACTGTCAAGGGCAGCATGACACAGAAAAAGGATGCTGGGATGCACAAGTTTGTTTCTGCACTGTTCAACTCTTCCTTGGCCCCAGCCAGGAAATCCAAACCCACCAGACACCTGAGCTCCCTGTGCAGTGTAACAACCTGGTGAACAGGCAGATGCCAGGAGCCAGCTGACAGGAAAAGCTAAGCACTGGGGGAGAAGGGGCAGGATCGGAAATCTCACCTCCAGCCAGCTGGAGTGCATTTCTGCTACAATGAAACAGGCTCCAGCACTGTGGGATGAGAATGTTGAGACTGGAGCCTGGGGAGGGCAGCAGAGGATGAGTCTGCTCTCACTCTATCCAAAACCACAAGCAACAGCCACGTTTCACAAACTGAAACTCATTCAAAATGTTTCTGGAGTAGATGCAGTGGGACCAAGTTCTGTACGCACAAGAAGAAGAAATATTGACAAAACCTGGCCATTTTGTGTCATCTGGCTTGACAGTTCTCATGTTGCTTCAGATGGCTGAAATGTAAGTAGCTGAAACCTCAAGCTGTTGGATATTTCAGGTATTCTTTTTCAAGACAATAATTTCAAAGAGTTGCTCCCAAACTCCAAACAGTTTCCTTCTGGAGCAGACAGCATTTAAAGTCAACATATAAAGTCTCTTTCCTACTCAGGCAAAATACAATGAAGAAATAATTAGGAAACTGCTGCTAAAAAGAAGAGTTTGGGATATTTGTTAATACTCCTCAAAGTTACAAGATAACTGCTTGAACCTAATAACGTTTTGTTAAATTATAATTACCAGCACTGCATGCAAGACTGATGGTTACTCTAAAAGGCAGTTAAACATTTAAATGAGTGAATGGAAACAAAAAAAAATAAGAGGATACAAATAAACCAACATTTTGGACCTTGTAAAAGGTTTTGAACCTTCTAAAATGGCATATAGCCAGTGTGCCTCTTTTAAAAATTGCTTTGAAATAACTGTATATTGATAACTTCCATGTGTGGACAACAGTATTTTATAATTTCAACAGATAGAGAAATAATTCTGAATGCTAGGACACAATGAAATGCTTAATCTCTTTTTCTCTTTGAAGATACCACATCCAAGCCTAAGTTTTCATTTTAAGGAGCTGCTGTACCAACTTAGCAATTACATCAGATATTAAAAGCAGAAGCTTGTTAGAGGCAAGAATCCCCTCAAAAAAAAAAAAAAAAAAAACAAAACAATAACCACCAAAAACCAAAACAAACAAACAGAACCCCCAAAACAAGCAAACAAACAAAAAACCCCTAAAAAACAAAAAAACCCTACCCCAAAACAAAACCAATGACAGCAAACTATGCCCACTCCCAATCTGAGATATTTTTGTTGTTCCTGTCAGGACTGTAAACCCAACAAATACATTAAATACTTCAGGCTTTTGAAGAATGTAGGGAACAGACCCAGTTGAAATTGACCGCATTTATAGATGCCAGATTTTCACCACTTAGCATGAGGCACATATAAGGAGCGAGTAAGACCAAGGGGCCCAGTAGCTCGCATGGATCTCTTGGGCCTTCCTGCCATCCTAACTCCCCTTCCAGGGGCTGCAGGTGCTAGACATTCTCTGGCTGAGCCCCACCACCAATCATTTGTGCTGGGATTCAGCTGGATGCCCACTCTACCCCCACCTACCCCACATCACAGGGATTTCCTCTCTGGGGAAAGTGCTGGAGGTGCAGTATCTTAAAGACTCTATGGATGAAGAGAAATTATTTTAAGCTCATCTTCCTGATACTTTAAGCTGACTCGTTGAAATTCTAATAAAGGGGATCTCCACTTCCAGACCAATGGCAAACACCTCAAAATGAAGATTTCACTATTTTTAACAGAAGGAGGAACCCATTGCCCATACAGTGCCAGCAGTCAGTGCTCCACCCCTGTCCTGAGAATCAGGAAATTCTTCAGTGTCAGAACTGGAAGCCACAGAATAAAAGCCTTGATGTTTAGCTCACTGGAAATATTATAAAAATATCCTAGGGACCAAATAATGCAACAAAATAAAAATAAATAAATCAGAGTTGTTTATAAGATAAATTCATACAGCAAATTCAAATTTGCCTTCAAGAGAAAATAACTCCTACTCTTAAAATCTTATTAACAGAACAAAAACAGCACAAGAGGATTCTTCACTGATGTTTTAGGCCTTCCCATTTGTTTTCCACTAATACAAGCATCATAAATAACAAGACAACAACCATTATTATGATAGCTAGGAACACAAAGAAGGAATCAATCTGTAGTAGACAGCTTTCAGCAGTTTATCATGTGAAGTCTCTTAAAGAGATCTAGAAACAATCCAGTAGATCTTTCAGTTCATTTGCTCCTCTCTGCTCCCCCACTTCTTGTGGACATGAATACAATTAAAATCCTTTTTAGGAGCCTTCTGAGCAGACTTTGTGCTCACACATCTTTTTAACAAACTGCAACAAAGCAACACCAAACTCTTTGTGACTCATTGTCAGCAACAGTGACCCCTGTATAGACAGGGGAAGTAATGTCAGAATTTCAGTTCAGAGGCCACAGCCTGCAAGGCACAAAGGCATGGGAGTAAAGTAATGGTGAGTGTACAGCAACTGTAGAAGGTGGGGCAGTGATACTGGAGACCTCAACTAGGGAAAAGCTCATGAGGTAACCAAGAATTAACTTAGGAGACAATATTTATGGAAGAGTAGTAGTACTATGACAGTGCTTATCATTAAACCCTCTTCCCCAATTTGAGAAATTGACTGTCTGCATCAGAAATTCCAAGTTTGTACACATACACCTCTGAAAAAACAGACACAATTCAGTATTAACAATGTGTTTGATAGGACAACCACTTTATTACAAAGAACAAACAACGCTTCAAAATAAGACTAATCAACTTGTATTGTACAAAATGTCAATTTCCTTGTAGAGGTCATGAAGTAACAGGCTGTAAGATTAAGTTCACATCAAATTCGCTATCCTGAAATAATCAGATAACAACAGTAATACTTACTACATCTTCAGAGTTTATGGCAAGATCATGTGCTCTACTCCAAACTAGATTCAAAAGATATTGCTATAATTACTTTGAAAACACAAAGTGTAAGTTATTGTTCACTTCATTTCCACTTTCACAGGAACATTCTGAAGATGAAATTGTAGCAGTGCCTGCCATAACTGGCACAACTGTTCTATGCTTACACAGTCACAACCTCCCTAAGAAGTTCAGTAAACGTAGACATTTCTACAATATGGATATAGTAATCTGCTAGATTTCAGCTTCTGTTGCATGTCCTTTAGCAGTATCTGAAATAAATGGATAACATGGAGTCTCAAAGAGCTGGTGTCAACAATCTTCTAAACTTTAAAATCAAACAATCAATATTTGTCTGATATCTAGTTGATAGGCAAACAGGTGGGATTTAGACATTATAAATACAGTTCTAAAAACAGACCAAAAAGTGTATTTTACAGTGTGTACCACAATTTCAGTTTAAAGTCAAAGTGTAAGCAACTGAAGAGTTGCATATGATCAATATTCAACGTTACCCAACTTGGACAAAAAAGAAAAAGTGACATCTTATGTCAAGTCAGCTGAAGAAAGCACACTCACAAGGAAATTATACTTTCATTGAAAACGCCACAGTTTTACCCTTTGGTAGTCATAACACACCCACTGAAAAAAGAAATTGTGCAAAGCATGTGAAACCAAGTGCAAAAAAACTGCACCCAGACACACCCAACAGGTTTTATTCTTAAATAACAACTCTACAATCACAGCTATCAACCAACAAAATCAAAGCCACAAGTATTTTCTCTAAAGGCTTCTTTCATAGTACTAATAAGAAAATCCAAGTTCTATTCTTCTAGTAGACAGTTCATTTGTATGGTACTTTTGTTATCAGACAGTATTGGTAGTGAGATCCTACCTGACGAAATGGGCCATTAAAACACAAATATCTTAAAGCCAGTTAACTTCAGGAAAAGTCCTATACATTCATACTATAAACACTGTTTAAAGTGAAACTGGAGTAGCTGTCATTGTCATAAAAACATGATTCTTCTCTGGAGTCAAACCACGTGTGTTACTCCTGTGCCACAATTAACACTGGTATAGCCATTTATGGTCCCTAGCACTTTCTTGATGCTATTGGAGCATGTGATGCATTGCGATAACTTAAGGCTGTACCAGCACTTCGTTATAACCCTGATTCTCAGGGCAGCCAACACTTGGCTGTTAAATCTCCTCTGGGAGACTTGAGCTGCTAAATCTTTACTATTTTAGTGATACTTCTCCCACCAAACCAGGCACATCATTGATTTTAGTTTATATCTTTACAAATGTTCTTAAGACAAATTTTACTGGAAGAGGCAAGAAATTCTACTTTGATGTATAATCTTTTGGCATTTGGGGCAAAATTAAAGTGCAAAGTATAAACTTCATTGCACAGTAAATAATTTAGATTTTATTTTAAAATAAATCTTATTTAGGTGCCTCAATCTATTCACCTAGTGACCTTGTCCAACTCAGCCTCTACACTTTGGTAAACATAGTTTTATATACAGATACATAAATAGCATTTAAAATGTTTACCTTTATTTTACTACCGTGAACAATTTTTCTCTTTTCCCATAGGAATGGATGAACCTATTCCTAGAAGTAATGCTTGTTGATTTTATCAGCTAGCTAGTTAATGTAAAAGATGCATAGTAAAAGGGAGATACTGAACTTGATTGGTAGAATATATTGGTAAAGCAAACAAGCACTTAAGAAGATTAACTGGAATAAATATGTTGAAAGTTGCCATATAATGTGTGCAAAATTGCTTACCATGTATTCCAAACTTTGGTTAAAATTTTCAGATTGAAGTTTTACAGAAACATTATGGAAGCAACACAAGTGATTACTAACACAGGAATGAGGTAAGTTATTATTAGTGCAAAAAGCAAGCATATGCTAAAAGCAAAGCATATGGATTAAAAAAAATAAAAAGGTAATAAATCTCATGGATGTTTTAATACAAGACCAGAAAGGTCTCTTGTAAACACTGGCATTTACAAGTTTAAGATTTGTACAACTACAAAATGATAATTTTAAGTAATAGTAGTGCATTTACAATGAATTTATGTTTTTTGTAATAAGAGCAATGGATAAGTTTATCTTTTTCCTTTTAAATTTTCAGGGGATATTTTTCAAGACTAAGATATCTGTTACAAATAGTAGAAAAAATCATTTCTTTACAAAAAAAAATATATATTAAAATAGTTATGCATTTTAAGTTACTATATAATATCTGGAAATTTTTGCCTTGTACTCAGGCACCAGAATGAAGAATGTGATATAGGGAATGGAAACCAAACAGAATTTGCTCATATCCCAAATCTTATGAATTATCTATGCAAGATCTGTGGCAATCCTGGGGACTCTACCTCAAACACTACTACTTGTGCCAATTGTTTTATTAATTTTTGATTTGAAACTCTGTGTTCTTTACATTTTAACTTATCACTACCAAAAAGAGCTGCTGGACAGAGAGCAATCCTCCACCCCACCATCTTGGATATATTTTCTGTAAGATACTCATACCTGAGCAAGGCTCTACAACATCGATGTGTCAAACGTAAAAAAGGTTATATATTTTTAAGATAAAAACAATGCAAAAATAAAATATTTGTAGCATTTACAAATAGTACAAGAGTTACACTAAACACTACATTTGAAAATTGAGATTTATTAAGTAATTTCTACTTTGAGCCTGATGTTTTCATATCTGCAAAGCAAAGGAGACATTGTTCAATGTTTCATAATTTCACATGGTGTACACACTCAAACATTTTCAAACAGACACTATTTCAAAGTTGTAGGATATAGGTAATGGTCAAAACCCCTGCCAAATAAAGTGTTAAAATAGCACTGAAATACTGAACTTCACAGAAGACAACTTCTTCATTGTTACTCCCCATCTTAGAAAAGCACATATTAGAAACCAAGCAGTGGAGCATTCAACAGGTGGGTCCCAGTCCAGCAGCTGAGATCAGCTACCCCTCCACCACAGTTCCTTGCTGCCCAAGGGGATGGGCACTCTGCCCTTCCTACCTTCCTCTGTGCCCACAGTACCTCTTGCTGAGCAAAGCCAGCTCCCAACAAAGCTAATCCAGAAATGGCAAGGAGCAGGATGAGAAGCTGGCAAAACTTGATACCCCATATTGGCTTACTTATAAGGCAGGCCAAATCTGACCAGGCTAACACTAATTTTAGTTTCAGTGGATCCATTCCCATCCCCAAATCATCATGAACCTGTACAAATTCAAGCCCAGGGACAAGATGACAAAACGTTTTCTGGCTGTAACACAGATTTTAAAGTGTATATGCATCACAAAAATGCACCTGACATCACCTGATGGAATTTTTTTCCATTCAGGAAGGTGAAAAGACTGAAAAAACCCCTGAATTATTCAGAAGCAACAACTAGAATTGCATAAAACTCCCATAAGGAACAAACTAACATTTCAAGCAGTTCACATGCAGTGCTGTGTTGGTTCTGGAAGAAATGCACAGCTCCTGCTCCACTCAAATGCTGTGTGTGACAGTGACTTTACCTTGGAGCCACCGAACCTGTGTGGCTGGGCCGTAGCCTCTCTCATTCTTGGCTGAAATCCTGAACACTATGGCAGGCCGGGAGGTGTAATCCACATGGGCACTGGAAAGCTGGGCAGCAGTCACTATGCAAGATGTTTTAAGACCACAGTATATCCTCATAAATACAAGTTGACTTGGATTTTCCTGTAGTTGCGTGGAACGGATGGCTAAGTAGGCAGAATATTCTAAAATATTTCCAGAGGGTGAAGCAGGAGGCTCCCAAGAAAGATGAATACAGTCTACACTCTGAAGAAAGAGAGAAACGTATGATAGTATGTAGGTAACCGTAAATATCTAAACAATAATACAAAAAAACACCAAATTCTAAAGATTATGTGAAAATTCTGACCTATCACCACCACTCTGGAGATAAGGATGTCTTTTGACTTTTTTTTAAGAAGTGTGGTAAGCCCCTATAGATTTAATGATCCAACACTAGAAAATCATGGGGAAACTATAATTAGCTCTTAAAAGAATTCTTTTTAGCAAACTTCTTAAAGAAATATTGAGCAGAGTTAACTAAGTAACCTTTGGACACTATTTTGTATGACAATTTTAACTTAAAAATAAAACTAACAATAACTAAGACCTCTGAGATTACACTGGCAACGAGAATTTCACACATCGGAACCAGAATCAGAATAACCTCCATTTCTCACCTTGGTGATTTTGACTGTTGAAGGAGCTCCAGGAAAACCTGGAATGCACGTCTTGAATTCACTGATTTTACTGAAAGGCCCGACACCACAGCCATTAATTGCAGCAACTCTGAATCTGTACACTGTGCCTGGAAACAGATCTTGTTTCTTTAGTAATCTGTAGTCTGGTACATCTGCAACTTCCATCTGAAAATAAAGCAACATTTGTGGTAATTTTTAAAATATTATAAACACAATTAGCCTAAAAAGTGTTAAACTGAGATTAATAAAGTTTAATTGAAACTGAAATCTATTTAATACTGCTGTACTTACATCAGAATTTAAGAAAAGATTTTGACTGACAGTATTTCACATCAAAACAGCTGATGTAATATGCAAAGTAAGACTACATGTCTAGACCAAATGATATCCCATTTTTTCAGTCATTTAAATTAAACTGTGCCTTGTGGTTATTTTTACTCAGGAAAGTTAAAACAAAGTAGCATTTACAACTACAAAAGTTATGATTTAATTAACATAATCTTCTGTCCTAAAAAATATTTTTATTTCAAAAGCAGTTATTTCTAACATTAGGAGCTCTGTAGGTAATCAAAATGTTTTTAAGGAAACACCCAGTAACTTAGTAACAAACAGCTTTCTGAAACATTATGTGCTACCATACTTCCATTATTAAAATATGCATTGATGCATCACTAATCCTTACAGTGGAACTATTTTCCTACTGAATAATGTAAAAGAACCACAATTAATGTAAACACTGCATAATGTACTGTGCTCTTTAAAAGTAAGATATAGAATATTTATAGTGAAGTGCTTGCAAAGGAAGGCTTTAGGTTTTTTTTGTTTCTGTCTCAAGAAGACACAATTTTTGTTTCTAGTTAATGAGGACATCACTAATTTACACTTTTACTGTCAAAACTGTTACACTTTTTCGAGTTTCACACTCATAATTTTCATGTATCCACTTACATGTACCAAATAGTAAGTTAGAAAGATCTAATAGAAAACCCAGTACAGTTCCAGATCTACTCTTTTAAACAGTCTAGCCTATGTCTTACTAATGTCTTTAAAATTTTTATGCAAAGATTCTGGGAATAGAGAAGAAACTGAGACGTTTCAATGCTGGACTGAAAGAACATATTAAGAAATTGTGGGGGTTTTAGCTTTTAAGAATTTTACTGGCTTGAAAATTTATAAGTTTAAAATTGTTTTCTAAGGCAAGAAATAAAAAAAGAATAAGCAATAGCAAAATAAGATATTTTGTATTTTCATACATAAATAACAAAGGAAATTCATCTAGTTTAGGAAATAGTAAAAAAAGGTGAGAAAAATACATGAAGAAATACTGGTCATAAAATACAACTCCTACAAGCACCAGATTCTGCTGCCGTATTAGAAAATCCCATATTTTGTTGTGAACTATATAAGCAACAAATTCTGTAATAGGTATATGCAAGTTATATCAGAGAAGCAGCAGCTACCTTGCTATTGATGTTCAGTGTTTCCTCTGGCAGCAAGTAGAACTGGCTCACCACAGCACTGTTGTTCTTAAAAATTCCCACATCATACCACCGGCGGTCCCTGGTTTTCACCGGCACTGGCAGCCTCTGGGGAGCTCTCTAGTATTTGAAGAACACATCATGTAGATTACCCACACGTCAATGCCATGGAAAAAAATGTCAAGCCTCTAGTATATGTAATAGACAACCCCCTTTTATACCAGTATTACTTCCTATACTTCAAATGAATATGCATGTATTATTAAAATACTGTGCAAAACCAACTGGTTCTTATACATTTACTCAGACACAGTCTGTCATTTAAAAAGTAACAGCTGGGATGTCGCATCTGATATTCTGAATGGGGCAGGGAAGAAGCTTAAATCTGTAGAACTAGGTGTCTGTAGCAGCATGTAGTTGAGAGAAGATCTTGACTTGCAGAGGTCAAGAAGTTTCCCAAGGTGGTCCAACATCAGCAGCTCCCCCTAGGGCTCAGCTGTAGCTCAGCCCCACACGTGCTCTTTCTCAGGCACTGTGGAACTCGCCTGCAGCTGAGAACAGCCTTCTGCTGTGGCAGGGGGCCGTGGGGATGGAGGGCATGCAAACTGCTCCTGACTGACCCAGTAAGACAAACTGGCTTTCTTGCTGGTCTCCAGGCACCAGGGAGAGCACTTGCAGAGTCAGGTACCCGGCACAGATCCTGCTAGCATGGAAATGGGGCAGGAGTTGCAGCTGCTCTTGGCAAAAGCACCCCACCCTTTGGCAGCAGCTGCTTCTCCCCATCCTTAGTTCCTCGCTTTTGGTGGCAACAGTGGCACCTTGGGTTTGTGTATTAAGTTGTAAGCAGGTGAAATAGGAAGCATTTACTTTTTCAGGCAGTATTTACAGCTTGCATAGTCAGTCCCCATCTCCTCTAGGGAAAAACATCAAGATGTCAGTTCAGTTACGTTTAAATCTATAGAATCAGCAGCTAACACTAGTCTGATTTAATACATACTTCATTCTAAATTCAGTTGTGCATACAGGAAAACTTTTTATATTTGCACATCATGCAGCAGAGACTATTCCACTGTGCCAGTTGATGAAAATGATTCAACAGCTGAAACATGAACTTGGATCTCCTCCCAACTACAAAACTGTTACTTAGTTTCACATCTAACCCACACAATGCAATTAGTTTTACAACAGAAATGTTTACCCCTGTATTATTCACTCCAAGCTCAAAATAAACACTGCTTTTCTTTCAAAAATATAATTAAAGGAAAACAGAAGAGCCCTTACAACTAATCAACAGAACAATAGGTAAAGCAATTTGATAATACTTTTTCAGACTTACAGAAGAGTGTGAATCATTTGTCTGTCCAGTACTGACCCTTGTTGAAGGCGTGACATAAGCAGTTTCAGCAGCTAAAAACAAAACATGAAATCTTAAAAACATAAGCAATAGAAAAAATTTAATACAAAACCCACAGAGTATGAAAGTTGACCTCAATAGCCATTTACAAATATTTGTTGCACAAGAATGTCTCAGACTTTTTCCGTATGCGGTTCTATTTATAACACAAACTAATTCTGGTTTCTATCAAATTCTATCAAATTCAGAACAATTCTGAAAGTCTGGCACTGGAGGCTGCTACAGATAATATAAACAGAAGGCAGGACTCAGAAAATCCTAAAAAGTGACAGCATTATGAAATCAATATAATATATTTGTGAACAAATAATCTAAATACCAGATTGAGGCACATACTGGGGACATTGTATGAATAGTCTAAGTGTGAATTCTTAATTTGATTGCATTTTTTCTGACATCAATACAGTTTGAATTCTGAACATAAGCAGTTAAACTGTAAACAACCTTAACAAATGGGAGCAGAGCATTCATTAAATTTAAAATGGAATCTTTAAAGAAAAAAAAAGATTAAGCACATGAGTAACACATGGGAGTGTTAGTATTCTATACTTGTGTTCCTGGGTTCTGCTCTTAAAACAAAATACTGCTTGGTAAAAATCACACATCAATATGAGAATACAGTTCTTTAGCTAACACTCAAAACAATAACAAGCACTGCTTGTGGATATTTGTCAAAAACAAACCTTGAAAAACTACCCGTTTATGTTCTGCATTGCTGCTTATTTTGGTTATTTCCAGCAGCCTATGAAGAGGCCAGCACATTAGACCAGCAGTGAGCTGGCCACATTTATTACAGAGGTCAGTTGCTTAAAGTCAAAATCATCCAAGGTTACCATTTTAGTCTTTTGCTGACTAAATAGACAAGCACTGAATGAAAATTAATGTGCGATGAGCAGCAAAACAGGCTACCCCTGATATTTAGAAAACGGACCTCTGCATAAATGAAGATTTGTCACCTATAGGAAACAGGGTGATTTACAAATGCATAAGGAAAATCCTAATTTTAAAAGATGTATAAATCCAGGCTGCACAAGGTCTTCAATGCCCAAAGCCCTATCTACATCCCAGGTACTACTCAAGACAGGAATCCCACCACACTATAGGAACTCTGATGGCCTTAGAAATATATGGCTCAAAATACAGTATGTGAAACACATTTCAAACCTTCAGATTTTGAATTGAATGTTGTTAGTGAAGTTTCATCTTTAACAACTGCCCCATTTGTACTTGATGACTCAGTTTTAACAGCCTGCTGGGTTACCATAGTTTGTGTGCTGGAGACATTACTCGTTACAGAAGAATCAGGATTTACACTTTGTTTGTCCAAGTAATGTAATTCAGCTACATTTGGTGATGTCTGAGCACCTTAAAAAAGAAGAAAATATTAGCAAGAATTCAATATTGATAACACACCAAATCTCAACTTGATCTAATGGATTTATTTTCATATAAAGCCTGAGTTTAGCTCAGAATTAGGTTAGAACAGATCTGATTATATTGATTGCTAATGCTTCCTTTAGGTTTATAAATTAACAGGAGTCTGTCTCCACAGTCATAAACAGGTGTATGTTAACAGTTATTTTAAGTTTGCTGTTTTTTATGTATTTGGTCACAAAAAAATTAATTAGAGGAAAAAACCCTACTAAAATAAAGCATCCACACAAATCAGTATCACAGGTTTCTAAAAATCAATTTAAGATTAACCCCTGTAGAAGTCTGTTTCTCACTTAGCAATAAGAACCAACACTTCCTCATTTAATTAAATTACACGGTGAAGAAAATAAAAATCCAACTACCTATAAAATACATTGAGATCAAATATAAACAGATCAGGTGATTAAGCCCAGATTCACTACACTGAACTTAAGGTACTTCAGTGACATGCATAAATCAGAGCCTTGCGATCTTTTACTTCCTCTACAGTCAGAGAGAAACATGCTTGTCTCTACATTGCCTGAAATTTTACATCAGCCAATAGCTAAGAGACAGACACAGTGTTGGAGTTTGGAGTTACTATCACCATAATGTTGTAAAATGTCGTCTGTCCCTTTTTACTTGATGCTAAAAATGGCTATTTATGTTTAGAGAGATTGTCCATCATAACAATGAATATATTGAGAATTTCCCGTACCTTGCAACACTTCAAACAAGTTAAGATTTCAATTTTCTTTGTATCTTCTAAAAATACGTTCAGTAACAACTAACACAAGTTGGGTTTCTTAAACTACAAAGGACTCTTTAAATAATTTTAAACTACAAGACAGAAACAATCTTATTTTATGTTTTTGAGATTAATTTTAACTCTCACTTTTTTTTCCCTCTATTTTTTTTCCTATAGTCATCTTACTTGAAGAAGTACAAACAGGCAAAAGAGAAGGGGCATTTAATTCTTTGAATCCTGTAGCATCTGTGTAGTTTTTCATACTCTCCTGTGTAACCTTGTCTTCAGGTGCTGCAACCTTTTCTTTTCCTTCTACTTTTGAACTGGATGAAAGGGCAACTCGGACCTAACCAAAACAACACATTTGTTAATGTTACAATGCAAAGTTCAGAAATTTCAATTGCAAACATGGCATGAAAATGCTTGCTCATAAACAACAATAATAAACTCCTCCAATAATTCCTTCTAGTACTTTAAATTAGACCAAGAAATCAATCTCTCAATCTTTGTCTTAGTCATTATAAAACAAAGACTCAAACACTGAGTTGACTTGGAAGACTCACAGTAAATTTTATCATTACATGGCATTTCATTGCTGTGTATAAAATATTTAGTCTACTGGAGGGACTTTGGGCAATGGGGAAAATTACAATTAGGCTTTCAACCTTCGCTTTCCTGACATGTACTTGAGATATTTCTACTCTTAGTGAAATTTATGGTATTTCTACATGTGTTTTCTCCAGGAATACATTATGGATCCCATACAGATCTCAGACTTTACACAACTAAGAAATGGTCCAAAGTTCTAGAAACAAGATCCTTTAGCCAGAGTTTGTCCTCACTATTTCTGTTAAATTGGCAGAACAGAGGAACACGTACAACTGCACACCACAGATAATAACTGGATTTAACTTGCTGTAGGAACTTACAAATAAGCAGACTAGCATAAAACTAAACTAGACTAACAAAGAAGGAATATGCCTTATTCTTTTTGCTTCCCACATAATGTCACCAGCATTCTGAGAATGAATAGTATTCCTATTGGTGTCAGACTCACAGTTGGCACTGTGGAAGACAATACAGTTGCAATTCTCTTCTGCATTAACAAGAAGAGGTCTTGAAAGATTGCATCTCAATCACGAAAGCAAGTATGTAAGAAAACAGACAACTACTTTCTTTTTTTTATTTGCTTTTTTTTTCTTTTCTAAGACCTAAAAAGTATGCAGGGAGTTTTGAAACTGAGAAACATTTTGGCAGTTCACTACCTTATCACACTGTTTTGACACTGAAGCATTTTTCAGCTTACACTTACGTTATTAGGAATGAGATTATTTGTTTGGCTGGGATGATCCACCTTCATTTCTGCATAAGGGATGCTAGGCACTGATTGCAGACTCTGATGAAGAGAACAGCCACCTTGCACGTAAACAAAAGCAAATTCCCATCAGTTCTGCAAAACTTAATATTATGATGGTTTTAACCTATTTCAGTAAGAAAAAGGGAGGCCAAAATTGCCTGAAGGAAAACTTTATTGTAAGTCTGAAATGAAACTGTATGGCTAAATAGTCAGATATAATCCCTTCCTCACTGTTTCCTTTCTCAACTTGTGCCTAGCATTCTACAAATATCTTCATAATTCAGACAGCTGGCCAAAACCAACAGAAACAAGTTAAAGGGGAGTTTGCCATAATTATGATGCAGGCATTTGTAGAATAACCAAAGAAACAGGGTCTCTCTCTCACAGAATGGTTCTTTAAAAAACAAAACTCATATTTATTACTTATGCAACCCTCCAGTCCACCTGTGCACGAGCATTAGTGTAATGGCATCTGACTGCTACCTTGTGAACTCAGCACTGATGTCTCAGGAACGCCAGCACCAGGAGTTCCAGCCACCAGTGGCACTGGTGAGTCAGCATGTAATTGAAGAAGATATCCTTCAACTGTAGGTACTTCATCCCACTTCAATTGAAAAGAGTTGGTTGTAGCTCTGATCAGCTGTACCTGTGATGGTGCTAGAGGTCTCTCTACAGGAAACCAATAAAACACAGATAGCATGTTAGAAATTGCCTTCCCCTACCAGTTTATTAAATAGCTGTATATTGCAAGTAAAATCAGTCGCTTCTTTTTCACTGATGTACAATATATACGAACATATACTCAACAAGAAACCACTGTCAAAGGGGGCAAGTCAAGACAGAGAATTACCAAGTGTCTTTTCAGAGTGTTCAAAAATGCTCCAGTTTTTATGCTTTGTTTTTAATGGTTCTTCTGCTGCCAGTAGGCCTTTAAGTTGTAGCTACATCACTGTAGGGATTACAGAGAGAGCAGATCCTTGTGCTTTCCTGAAACGCTGCAGGTAGCTCTTTGGCTCCTAAAGCTTTACATATTCCTCTAATTCACAAATTATTCCTCTTCCTTTTTGCTTGCTCTGTGTAGCTGAAGTGAGCTTTAACTTCTTCTGCACAGGCTGAAACCTGGATATGACCAGCCAATGGCTTGCTCCTCTCACGTGCCTCTACGCCTGACCAGGCTGCAGTCCTAAGTGCACCCCTCCCCGCTATTTTTCATTTTCGGAGGGAAAAATGAAACAGGAAAAAAAAGTTCTATTCTAATTCCCTCTCTCCCAACTCAGTGTCCTACTATCAATGCAGCTACTAATGAATGATTAGTCTCCAGAATTCCCTTCATCCTCAGGAACAATTTGGTCCTTTCTTAGATTGAAGAGTATCTTTTTGCAGTCCGAGAGATGAGGAAGCAGCAGCAGCAGCAATGATCCCAAGAGAGGGGATTTGGTGATAAAAGTAAGCAGTAGCAGAAAAGATCACTAAAAAGAGGCCAGGAACCCTGAGTTTAGGCAAAACAGCCTTTAGCATCTTGTATCAACTGACTATGGCATGCAGTGCAGAATTTAGCACAAATTTCTTTCAGAGGCTTTAAACAAGCCTTCCTATTTTTTTTTTTATTTAAAGTAATAGCCTTCAAACAACCAGCAGTAAAGCATGATTTAAAAACCATTTTTAAAATGTAAATACTCTTCAAGTTTGCTCATCAGTCATGCAAGCTTTCCATATGTTAATAAAACACATAACATAGTACAAGTCTCTTATTTATTTCTGACTCACCAGTATCAAGGTACCAAAGATCTTTGCAGCAAACTTGATTGTTCCAAGCTTTTCTGTAACCATCTCTACCACTCCAGATATACAGACGAGTGCCAACAGCTACAGCACAGTGTCCTGCTCTTGGCCCTGGTAACAAGTTACTTTTGTCCTCCTGGCAATCTGAGATCAGACCTATCCATTCTGTGGTATCTAGTAAATGAAACTCAAAGCATTTAGTTTCTAGATGATCTCCAAAACAAGAAATAAAGATGTTAACACACTTAACTGCTCAGAAAAAAATGAAAATAAATCACCTCTCTTTTTTATAGACAGCTGCATTTAAAATGGAAATATTATGAAGAGACAGTCACTTTCCAATTAGTGTGCAAGATAAAATCAATTCATACAGGCTGAATTCTGGCCTCTGGTTATCTCTCTCAGGCAAATAGATCAGAAATTGAGAATTCAGGGATAGTACTAACATGCTTAGAAAAACCTCATTTCAGAATCTGTCTCCTGTGTTCTTCTATAAATGAAGGAATATTTACATTACTTAGCATTAAAGTTGTATTAACGATGATTTGAAAAAGCAAACCTGCTAAATGTTCAAAGAAAAATAATAATTAAAATATTTATTTTCAAGTAATGTGCAAAAAATGGGCAACTTTTTTAGTTAGCCAGGATTACAACTATGTGTCCTAAACATTTCTCAATGTCTTCAAAATAGTTACTCTACTCTGTTAAGAAAATATTAATTCAAAATACCTACTTCCAGAAAGAAAGAAACACTAACCCAAATTAAGATAAGAAAAAGAACCGGTGCATTTCCATTCACCATCAGGAGCAGAAATTTCACCTCCTGCTGACTGTGGAACCCATCCACCAAAAACATACATTCTGAAATACAGAAAAAGAGGGAAGAGGGAAAAAGAAAAGAAAAGAAACACCAATTAACAGCTAGATGTGTTGCATGGGCTCTTTCAAACTAGGACAAAAAGGAAAATTTCCAGTGTGTTACAGTTCTTGTTCACAGCAAATTTTATTTGTATCTACTGTCTTTATGAAGTACTGAGGCAGACATCTACCTCCTGAAATTTCTGAGTGATTGAAAAATGCAACCACACAAAAAAGTCCCAGAAACTTCTCAAACAACTTCCTAGAAACAGCAGTCAACACTGTAAGGTTTAGCAAACCATCAAACTACTAACGCTCTCCAAAAATACCACACGTACAACAGAATTTCTACAATCCTTTACTGCACAGCCCTCAGTAAGTCAGGCTAAAACAAGATGACTGGCATCATAGCATCATATTAAATTTTTATATAATTCAGATATTAAAATTTAAAAATATAATGCAGGCTACAAACTACTGACATTTTAAGTAAATAATAAAAAGCTAAGCTGTTGGATCAGAAGATATAAAGTTTTCATACTTCTTTACTCCCTTGCCTCTTTCTCCTCATGCCAGCTTGTAAACTGATACAAAATGGACTGAAACCCGCATTTTAAAATCCATTTTATCAATGCTACCTGCCAAAACAAACCATATTGGCAAGAAGCAGAGTAATGAGGGACAGACTGCAGAAGAAGCGGGGAATAGTTTTGCCTGGAACTAGTTTCACTCTTTGAGAAGTTTTTTTGTGTAGCTACCTAATCTGTGTCACACACATAGCAGCACTGAAGCTTACTCCTGACAGGGCTCAAGCCCAGCTGAGGCTGCCCCAGAATGCATACAGGTGCTCCAAGAAGCCCAGAAAGCTGCTGGTGGCTTGGGCAGATTGTCCTGCTGGATGGAAACACTGACGGACTTCTACCCTTGAGTTAATAGTGGCACTGAAACAGCAGAAGAAAACTACTCTACAGGGCTGATGTTTATACTGAGTATACAGTAGTGGATAAGCATCATCATTCCCCTACTAGGTATACCTTTCTAGAGTTGAGCTTTTAACAACAGACATACTTGTTTCCTATTACATTGGCCGTATGAAGACTGCGAGGAAGTGGTACTGTCCCTTTGGTTTCTGGTCTTGACCAGGTCATGGTTTCTAAAAGAAAGAGAAAAAAATTCTCAAAAAAATTCTCAAAAAAAAAAAAAAAAAAATCTTGTTGCTACATATTTCACTACCTGCATTTTAGGAGGAAACTTACCTCTAATACTCAGCAAAGCTAAATTTCACCTTTTTAAAATGGCTACTTTTAGAAAAAGGGTGCAATAACAAGCACTTGGAACTTCTTTTTAAAAAAACACGGGAAATACTGACAAACTAAGTGTTTATCAAAAACATAAATTATGGTTTCATTATGGTTATTCAACTTGGCTACTTTAGAGTGTTTTAAAGACTATGGTATCTGTGTCATGTAGTACTCATAATTAGTGAGGATAATATATGCAAACAATCTATTTAATTCCAAATATTACAAAAGGTTAACACTATGGTGTCAGTCTCAATAATATCTGCACCACAGCCTGCCATTAACCATTCTATACTGTATTTTTTCCCCTCAGCCAGTAAGCACTGACTTCTGCTGGCAAACCAACTCACCTATGTCAAGTTCCCAGAGATCATTAAGCCGACAGCCACACATGCCTCCAAAAATATACATCTTTGGGCTTCCCACATCTTTTCTGCAGTACACTATGGCTGTGTGAGATTCTCGGGGAGATGGCAAGATTCCTTTGGTCACAGGAATACTCCAGCCGACCACACCAGACCCATGTTGCAGCTCCAGTTCATAGAAATCATTTAAATATCTAGAGTATTATTGTCAAAGTATGAAAAACTCACTTATAAGCATGACAACAAGTGCACTTTAAACCCTGACTACTTCCAGGTATTACAAACTTCTGTCTTGGGAGGGTGCAGAGTTCTAAACTCTCAAAATATTTGATGCATTGTGGGCAGTACCAAATCTGAATTCAAAATGGATTTAAAAAAAAAATTAACAGTTATAACTTGTTGCCTCTGATAAAACATGCTCTTATTTGATACATTGTATTACATAAAAGAAAAATGAAAACAACATTTATTGCAAAAATTGTTACATACGGACACACAATAAACCGCAAAGCAGTGGGAAATACATGATGACAAGAGGTATTAGAGAGAAATTTCTGCAACTCTTAAAGCAATGAAGGTGAGAAGCTGTTGTTTTCTTGTGTCTTCAGGCTGGCCAATACACAATTAGCCATTTGTTGCTGAATCTATCGGCAAGTTATTTTTAGATAATGGTCTTTGAATCTTGGCATTCACACCAGATACCTTTTGTTTACTGAGCTTGAAATTGCCAGTTTATAGCTCAGTGGATATAAGTGCTCTGAGCTGCAGGTGAATGTTGATATAAAACTTCAGCATTCTTACACAGTTTCATACAATAATGGCAACTTCAGCTGCTATAGTAAAAAAATTTCCAGATGAATTTATAACTGTTTTTCACAGCAATACAGAAGAAACATCCATCTAAGTCCCTGATGACTCATGAGACTCTGCTGATTGAGGTAATTCTAACAAACAAGCCATTCTTAGAAACATCACCCAAAATACCAGGAGAAATATAAAAGCCTACTCAGGTTGCCCTACGAAAGTGTCAAAGCTGTCACTCAGTGTTCCATATTGTGAGATTAGCAAAAGGAATACTTAACCTTCTTCACATGTAACCCCTTCACTGCACAAATAATCCAACTTTGAGCACTTGGTGCGCAGGACAGCCTGCCTAGAATGTTCCTTTTCAAAGCTGTTAAATCAAGTAATTTGTTTTTAAAGCCGTTAAATTCAAAAACAAATCAGCATACCTGGGAACATTATTATTTGAATCTTCACTTTCATTTGCCAGGCCACCAAATAAATAGCACTTGTTACCATACAAAGAAAAGCTGTGGCCAAGCCGAGGACAGGGTGGTGATCCATTTGAAGGAGCTTGAGGTTTTACCTTTTTCCAGAGCCATCGACTTGCCTTGAAGACAAAAAAAATTATTTTAAAATAATATCATTGATAGTCTGTCATAACAGATAGAATTCATATAATATTAACACTTCTATATTTTCTGAATTATTTTTAAGGGAATGCTGAGCTTTTCTTAGGACATTCATTAAAAAGGATATGTAAGAGCTAACCTTAATAAAATATTGAATATATTACACTTAATTTAGACTAGATGAAAGTCTCTATTTCAAAGTTATTTAGAATAAACTTTAGATTCTTAAGATGGAAAAAATCTTCTGAAAAGCAAAGATCATCTTTCTTCTGCAGTTGGTAAAATAAAATGTGTTTCTTCATAAACAGATAAATATAATAGTCCTGAAAATCAAAACATAATCATACATTTCCTACCTGCAATTCATATAAATCATTGCTGTATCTTCCATATTCAACCATTCCTCCAAAAACTAGTATTCTGGTACCATCACAAACAAATCCATGTGCTGCACAGCCTGGAGGAATATCTCCCCTAACAGCAGGAAGGAACCATTGATTCGTAACTATTGTAGGAAATAAAAAGCCAAAACCCAGAAAAATAGATTAGAAAAATATTTCCAACACTGAAACATGTATTTTTAAACACCTCTGCTTTCTAAAGAATTACCTTTTATCTGCAGAGAACTACGGTTATTTGCTTCACACTAAGTTTTAAATTAATTCTTATTTTTTTTAATGACAAGAAAAGCAAAGACCTCTATCAAACCAGTGTTACCCAGTATATGAAGGAGCCCATGAGGTCACTGTAATTAAGTCAGTCACTTGCCAAGAATAGAGGCTAATGAGGAACACAAGTGCAGTTTCACACAAAAGAGATAACCACGCTAACTCAGAGGGAGCTAGCTCTAGAAACAGAATTATTAGAGCTACAGCAGCATGGCACTGTGCCTGGACTTAATAGCCCTATTCAAAAACTAATTACACTGTTCTGAGAATCATTTTAATATCCACAGAGTGGGAGAGGAGAGGCACAAAGTCGAGAAAGAGGAACTGAGACTGTCTAATCCAGCAGCAGCAAAGTGGTGCCTAAACTGTTCTGAAATTTAAGAATTACAGGGGACAATGTCTTCTTTTTCCTACACATTTTACGAGCATGAAGAGGAGAAGTAGGAAATTAGAAGCTTCCAGTGAACGTTGCTGCAGGGGATTAAGATGCTCTCAGTGTGTGCCAGCTCCTCAAAAATCATCACATGCACAGCAAGGGCCATGGATGATATCCCACACTCGGGCAGTTCAGGTCATAACCCTGCATCTTAACCCCAGAATAAAAAAGGTCAGTTGCGGCCAAGCACTCATCCAGAAACTGGAGCAACTAAGTCATGATGCTTTTTGTCACTGCTGCAAAGGGGAAACACCTTAAGCAGCAAGTCTGGGAAGAAAAAAACCAAGTCATTATAAGACTCACTCAAAAGGCACTTGTCAGAACCTCTGTTCTGATGGCATAACTATGTTAAGAGTTTTCTTTGGATTACTTGTCAGAACAGAAAGGTTAAGAGATTTTTTTCGTTCTCCCGTCAGAAATCTGATTCAAGCATAGTATGTCTTGAAGATATCCGGAAAAATCGGCCTGGAAAAACCTCAAGCAGCCAACACTGTCTGACTGAGAAGCACAGATCAGTCACTGAACTCCACCGTCTCGGCCTAAGCCCTGAAATTACACACAAGTTTTCCAGCCTCATCCAGCATTCAGTACAGTAACTATTTGGGCATCTGATCTTTCACAAATAAAATCGGTCTTGGGCAGCTTCCTGTTTGGAGAGGCTCCCGATGCCAACACGTTCAGTTTTCCAAACAAGATTCCCATTCCAGGGCATTCGGCTCTCGTGAGCTGCCGCCACCAGAGGGAAGGAGGGGGGGGATCCGGACACTCGTAGGGACTAATCCCGCCTGCCGCCATTCAGCTGCGACCTGCCAGGGAAGAGGCTCCACATCCCTGCGCGACGGTCGGGGACAGCAGAGCAGCCGTGATCCTCCCGGTCGCTTTTCCCCAGCAAGGAGAACCAACCCCGCAGCACCAGCCAGGGCGCAGCACTACCCCACGGAAGACCCCTGGCCCAGGCATATTTTCCCCGCCATTTCGGCTCTGGGCAGCTCCTCAGCCCGCCCGCCGCCCCCTCGGCCAGGCCCCCCGCGGGCAGTGCCGGGGGAGGGCGGGAGGCCTGGGGGGGATCCCCGGCGCCATGCGGAGCCCGGTGCCACCGGCGGTCGCAGACGGGACAGCCCCGCCGCTGTCTCCCCCGTGGCGGGGCCCCGCCCCGCGCACCCGTGTTGTAGACGTGCAGCTCGTCGGCGATGCCCTCGTTGCCGCCGCCGAAGATAATGAGCAACTCTCGGATGGCGACCGCGCGGTGCCCATGGCGGGAGCGTGGCACCGGCCCCGTGAAGGAGGACACCCGCCTCCAGCTCAGCCCGGCGGCGGCCGCCGCCATCTCAGAGCCGCTCCCACAACGCACTGCGCGGCCGGGGCAGCCCGCCGGGGAAGGGGGAGTGCTGACGTGAGGGTGGCGGGTCCGTGTCCCGCCCCCCGGCCGCCTCCGCCGCGGCCCCGGCCCCGGCTCGGCACGGCCCCCTCCGGTCCTGCGGCGCCTCCGGGCCCGGCCGTGCTCCGGCGGGTGCCCTGTGTTGGGGCCCCGTACCTACAGCGTACGCCGCCCGAGGGGCGCTCGGGCACCGCAGGGGCGGCGTGGACTCCTCTGCTTGGGGCACCCCTCTGCCGTCAAGCCCTCAGAAACGTTATCCTTTTTTTAAATTTATTTTTAACTGGCTAGTGGTAGGCGAGGCAATGCTGCTGCTTGCGAGGTGTGCGGCGAGAAAGAAATGAGTTCCTGTTCAAACACCGAAGGTTGCGATTAGTAACCGAGGTTTTGGTTCTACAGCTGGCAGCAGGTGATCTAAGTGAATTCGAAGGTCTCGTTCTACAGGAGAGAAGCTGCTCTTTCCTGTGTGAGGGGAGTGTTTAGTGAGAATATAAATGTATGATGCTGAGGGGAATCCAAAGAAGGTGTATCTGGTGCTAAAAGTCTCTTCCCATTGTTCAGTTCTACACGGTAAAGGATGATGCTGAGATGTGTAATTGAGGTTGGACATTAGGAGGAATTTCCTCATGGAAAGAGTGATTAGACATTAGAATGGGCTGCCCAGGGATGTGGTGGAGGTGTTTAAGGAAGAACAGGATGTGGCTCTTACTGCCATGGTCTTGTTGACAAGGTGGTGATTGGTTGTTGTTTGGACTTGATGGTTTCAGAATGGTTTTCCAACCTGATTCTGTGATTCTGTGAAGGTGTTATTTACTGCATTGCCAGCAATACCGACGGTTCTGCCAGGTGAAGCAGCCAGTCCCAGTTCTGCAGGCTCACATGACTGCGTGCTGCTTAGATCTGTTCAGATTCACATAGAAATGGAAGGGAAGGTGAAAAAAACATGGGTGGATTTTGGTGAACATGAGCTTAATACAACTTAAATAGCACAACAAAACACTAATAGTTGTGGCCATCTGCACAAAGCATATATCTGTATGTATAACTCTTCATTTAATTTTTGCTCAAGCAGAAGATAAAGTCCTGTGCAAAATCAGACACAGATAATACAGTTTGGGCATGTTTGAGGCACATCATTGAAATCCCACATTTTTGGCTCCTGCAAATGGAGTAATTGTCATTTAAAACAGTTAAGATTATTAAGAACTTTATTGACTACTACTCATAAATCTGGCACTGCCTCATGGTAAAAATACAAAAAATAGTTTAGAGTTGAAGATGTTTGTTGTTATTCCTTTCAGTAGTCATGAAAGTCTTGTTACAAAACAGTGGTTTATCATTTAGAAAGTTCATTCCTAGAAGAGAGGGACAGAATTCAAATAAAAGAAGTGCTGTAGAAAGAAAACTTCAAAAGCGTTCCAGAAGAGTTTAGGAGACAGGCTATCACCATGTGCTGGTTACCTTGATCCAAGATCCTTTTGAATCTAAATCAAACCTGTGGATTAAATGCTAAAAGATTAGGAAATGAGATTATTCAAGTCAAAATGCGCGTTTAGAGTTGACTTTTGCAAGTTTCCCTTAGCTTTTAACTCTCAAGAACTCTGCCAACAGTTGGCTGTGGCTGTCCTGCAGTCACAGAGCTTTGGAATGCCAGCTAGCAAGCTCCCTGTGACCAGAGGGACACACAAGAGAGGCTGCCCCTGAGCTTCTACCAAGGCCTTTCAGGTGGCAGTGGGTGTAGCAGCATGGGTGACACTGCAACAGGACACCACTAGGATCCCAAGGTAAAGAGATGAAGGAAAGGACACTGGTATGCAGGCCAATGAAGCTTTACTCAGAGGATGGGTCAGGAATGTGTCACAAGAGAAGAGTGGTCTGGCTAGGGTTTTTAAAGGAGGCTACTTTAGGGGGTGGGAGCATCACCTAACCAATGGGAGAACAGTTGGGGAGGAGCATGGGATCTAACAAGATCAATGGGATTAACATGGGGGAGGAGAGAAGCCTCTAGGACAAATCAACTGTTAGAACCAGGGTAATTGACATTGAACATTCGGAAACAAAAAGGGTGGATCTAGGTTGATGGACTGTCTCTGTTCCTCTGGGAGCATCTCGGGAACCCTCAGCCAGGCTCGAGTCGGCAGACACCAGAAGGGCAGTCCCGACACGGCCGACAGCGGGGAGACACTCTCCTGTGCCCCGAGGGTACTGAGGGCACCTAGGCTAGTTGCCTTTGCAGCAGAAGAGACACTAGAGACATCGGTAGAAGATAAAGGGCCGACTCTTAGCAGGGGTTAATCCAAGGTTTTATTCAGGGGCTTTGGGGAGCTCCTGCTCCTTAGGGGGCCTCCTGCCGAGAGCCCCGGGAGATGTGCCAAGGTTACATTTAACGGGAGTAGGAAACCAAAAGTAGATAACATTTTACTAACCAATAAGTGACCCTAAGGAATGGATATTGGGGGATAGATATTTAGGACAGCGAATGGGGCAAGGCTTGGGGGGCTGACCCCTAGTGTCTGGCTAATCGCTCGATGTCCTGGACCGAAGCTTCTAGATGGAGGGGATGGGATGCTGAGTGATTGACAGCCAGGGTTGGGGTTTGGGGATGATCTCTGCAAGGAAGAGGGATTACACAGGTATAGGGAGTGGGGTACAATCTGGAATAAACCATTTGGGAAAAATATGGGGATACAAGAACAGAACTACTTCAAAGTATCACAAAGTATAAAAACACACTACAACAATGGACAAGGGAAGGGGATAGCACAACTTGGGTTGACAGGTCCATACAAGGGAAGGAAGGGAGGAGCAGGGATCAGGCATGTTGAGGGCCAACTAAGTGGCAGGAAAATTCAGGGGCAAACAACTTGGGAAAAACCATTATGAGGGGATAAAATGGGGGTACAAGGATCAAACCATTTTTCTTAATTAACATCGAACCACTAACTTGCAATTGAAATAACTATAGAACTCATAAAACATACCAACACATTTGGCTTTCTGTTAGACTTCAGCATGCTGTAGTCTGGATCTGGCACACTAGTTGCCTGTTCACATTTACCATAAATAATGACTAAAAGCATAACTTGCAGCTAGATTTTGGAAGTGACTTCTGGAAGGGTTTGTTTCCTTCTCTTTCCCCCACCCCTTTAAGGCTTTTTGTCTTATGGGAATTTTTTGCAATCTGCTAGCTGAATTTTGGAGGCAAGTTTGTCAGATCTGGGGCTGTATCATCATTCTGCACATCTGGAAGTGGTTTATGTGCTCTCATTCCTCCAGCACAGCGTCTGGACTCTGCCCTATTCCTCAGCAGCAGAGAAAGGAAAGAAAACCAGCACAACTCCAAAGTAAACTCTGAAGAGTTTGAAAAAGGAATCAAATCGTAAAACTGTTACTGTGCCCTGTAAGGCCCTTGTGTGGGTGACTTCAAAGGAGGATGGTGGTCGAGGACGCTTTGGCAAGAGTGCTTACGGCTGTGGGCTATCTGGGATCCAAGTAAATAACTCCACAGCGCTTCAGGAGAGAAGAGTCCCAAATACTGTGCTGCTTTGAAGAGGTAAAAAGACTAATTAGGCAGGAAATATCTGATCAGTAATGTCACTGTTTTTTGAGCTTTCCCTTCTGCAGCCCCTCGTTTTGATATAGGATTTGGCAGCTGAGTTAGGGACTGCCAGGTTCCAGGAAATAATGTCTACAGTAAATGAGTAAATATTTGCAGGGGAACAAATATACCTCTCTTTCCTTAAAAATCAGTAGGTAATCAATTGGTGTTTCAGGGGCATAGGAATGCTGTAGTTGTGGAACTCAGACTTGTGTGAGAGTCTGTCTTTGGATTTTAACGTTTAAAACATGGTTCAGTTTATGTGGATTTAATAGTTTCTGGAGATAACATGAAGCTGTGGCTATGCTGCTTTCATCTTGCAGTGATCATCAGGATTATTTGTGGCTACTGTTACAAATGCTAATTCAAAGGTAGCTCCGTGGAAATCAGGGGAAGATTGTGATCAGCTAAAGTGGGGTTAGAAAATTAGTCCAAGAGCATAGCCGGTTCTGTTGTCCCTCTGCTTACCTAAATGTGTAAAGTTTTTAAGTGTAAAAGAAAGTAATACTTCTGTGTAATGCATGAGAGAAAGGCTTTCTCAGCTGTGTTTTTTTCTGACAGATAAGCTTGATTTCCTCTGTGTAAATTAATGCCACATGAAGAGAATGGTCTCCTGGAATGTAGATAAGTAGTGCAGATGTGGAAGAACTTCCAGAGTACTCCTTTCTCACTGCGATTTAGCCATTAGCTGACTTAAATAAATTTGAATATAAGTGGTTTGTAGACAATGCCACATCTTAAATTTCATATATATATTTTTGTTGTTACTGTTGTTGTCATTTAACTTGTTGGTCAAAGTAAAGACTAATTTAATATTCTGCCTGAAGTTGAGCACTAACAATTGGGAGGTGGTCAGCTTTGTGACTCAGATTTCAAGAATTCTTGCTGTTCTGTCTGATTTGTCAAGGAGCTGGAACAAACTTCACTTTTGTGTGTGCACAGAACTGATCTTATATCTTAATCTGTGTGGTAATGTGTCCATATCTGTAGGTGTGGAAGCAGGTAAAATTGTTTTTTGTTCTATCCCTACGTAGTGTAAAGGTTGGATCACACAGATGGATTTTTCTCTCCCATCCAACTTCTGGTGCTGTTTTTTACTGTTGGTTGTTGTTGTTTTAGTTATGTGCTTTGTGTTTTCTTTCATAAACAGTAGTTTTGGGTCCAGAATTCAATCGAATGTTGTATTTCTCATAATCCTGTACTTTAGGGGTTATGTTCTGTCTTCTCAGACATGGCTGCTCTCAGGCCTGGACTAGAAGCACAGTTTTAGGGAAGGCTACCTCTTTTTGTTCAGCATCACAAAAAATGTGCATAAATACAAGTCCACTACACCCACTGGAAGAATACAGCTGTTAGAAA